AACTACAAGTAAATTAGTACATGTAGTCCAATAATATTTTCTCCACCTTTTCCACGTAGTTTTTATCCGACAGAACAAAATTTCTTAAAGTTGAAACAGAAATATTAATATTTAGCCGAGTTCAAGTGAACTTTATCCGTTAAAAGATATTAAACAGCATAAGAACTACAAATAAATTGGTACATGTAGTCAATAATTATTTTTTCCACCTTTTCCACGTAGTTTTTATCCGACAGAACAAAATTTCTCTAAGTTAAAACAAAAATATTAAAATTTGTCCGAGTTCAAGTGCACTTTATCCGTTAAAAGATATTAAACAGCATAAGAACTACAAATAAATTGGTACATGTAGTCAATAATTATTTTTTCCACCTTTTCCACGTAGTTTTTATCCGACAGAACAAAATTTCTCTAAGTTAAAACAAAAATATTAAAATTTGTCCGAGTTCAAGTGCACTTTATCCGTTAAAAGATATTAAGCAGCATAAGAACTACAAGTAAATTAGTACATGTAGTCCAATAATATTTTCTCCACCTTTTCCACGTAGTTTTTATCCGACAGAACAAAATTTCTTAAAGTTGAAACAGAAATATTAATATTTAGCCGAGTTCAAGTGAACTTTATCCGTTAAAAGATATTAAGCAGCATAAGAACTACAAGTAAATTAGTACATGTAGTCCAATAATATTTTCTCCACCTTTTCCACGTAGTTTTTATCCGACAGAACAAAATTTCTTAAAGTTGAAACAGAAATATTAATATTTAGCCGAGTTCAAGTGAACTTTATCCGTTAAAAGATATTAAGCAGCATAAGAACTACAAGTAAATTAGTACATGTAGTCCAATAATATTTTCTCCACCTTTTCCACGTAGTTTTTATCCGACAGAACAAAATTTCTTAAAGTTGAAACAGAAATATTAATATTTAGCCGAGTTCAAGTGAACTTTATCCGTTAAAAGATATTAAACAGCATAAGAACTACAAATAAATTGGTACATGTAGTCAATAATTATTTTTTCCACCTTTTCCACGTAGTTTTTATCCGACAGAACAAAATTTCTCTAAGTTAAAACAAAAATATTAAAATTTGTCCGAGTTCAAGTGCACTTTATCCGTTAAAAGATATTAAACAGCATAAGAACTACAAATAAATTGGTACATGTAGTCAATAATTATTTTTTCCACCTTTTCCACGTAGTTTTTATCCGACAGAACAAAATTTCTCTAAGTTAAAACAAAAATATTAAAATTTGTCCGAGTTCAAGTGCACTTTATCCGTTAAAAGATATTAAGCAGCATAAGAACTACAAGTAAATTAGTACATGTAGTCCAATAATATTTTCTCCACCTTTTCCACGTAGTTTTTATCCGACAGAACAAAATTTCTTAAAGTTGAAACAGAAATATTAATATTTAGCCGAGTTCAAGTGCACTTTATCCGTTAAAAGATATTAAACAGCATAAGAACTACAAATAAATTGGTACATGTAGTCAATAATTATTTTTTCCACCTTTTCCACGTAGTTTTTATCCGACAGAACAAAATTTCTCTAAGTTAAAACAAAAATATTAAAATTTGTCCGAGTTCAAGTGCACTTTATCCGTTAAAAGATATTAAGCAGCATAAGAACTACAAGTAAATTAGTACATGTAGTCCAATAATATTTTCTCCACCTTTTCCACGTAGTTTTTATCCGACAGAACAAAATTTCTTAAAGTTGAAACAGAAATATTAATATTTAGCCGAGTTCAAGTGAACTTTATCCGTTAAAAGATATTAAACAGCATAAGAACTACAAATAAATTGGTACATGTAGTCAATAATTATTTTTTCCACCTTTTCCACGTAGTTTTTATCCGACAGAACAAAATTTCTCTAAGTTAAAACAAAAATATTAAAATTTGTCCGAGTTCAAGTGCACTTTATCCGTTAAAAAATATTAAACAGCATAAGAACTACAAGTAAATTAGTACATGTAGTCCAATAATATTTTCTCCACCTTTTCCACGTAGTTTTTATCCGACAGAACAAAATTTCTTAAAGTTGAAACAGAAATATTAATATTTAGCCGAGTTCAAGTGAACTTTATCCGTTAAAAGATATTAAGCAGCATAAGAACTACAAGTAAATTAGTACATGTAGTCCAATAATATTTTCTCCACCTTTTCCACGTAGTTTTTATCCGACAGAACAAAATTTCTTAAAGTTGAAACAGAAATATTAATATTTAGCCGAGTTCAAGTGAACTTTATCCGTTAAAAGATATTAAACAGCATAAGAACTACACATAAATTGGTACATGTAGTCAATAATTATTTTTTCCACCTTTTCCACGTAGTTTTTATCCGACAGAACAAAATTTCTCTAAGTTAAAACAAAAATATTAAAATTTGTCCGAGTTCAAGTGCACTTTATCCGTTAAAAGATATTAAACAGCATAAGAACTACAAATAAATTGGTACATGTAGTCAATAATTATTTTTTCCACCTTTTCCACGTAGTTTTTATCCGACAGAACAAAATTTCTTAAAGTTGAAACAGAAATATTAATATTTAGCCGAGTTCAAGTGAACTTTATCCGTTAAAAGATATTAAGCAGCATAAGAACTACAAGTAAATTGGTACATGTAGTCAATAATTATTTTTTCCACCTTTTCCACGTAGTTTTTATCCGACAGAACAAAATTTCTTAAAGTTGAAACAGAAATATTAATATTTAGCCGAGTTCAAGTGAACTTTATCCGTTAAAAGATATTAAACAGCATAAGAACTACAAATAAATTGGTACATGTAGTCAATAATTATTTTTTCCACCTTTTCCACGTAGTTTTTATCCGACAGAACAAAATTTCTTAAAGTTGAAACAGAAATATTAATATTTAGCCGAGTTCAAGTGAACTTTATCCGTTAAAAGATATTAAGCAGCATAAGAACTACAAGTAAATTAGTACATGTAGTCCAATAATATTTTCTCCACCTTTTCCACGTAGTTTTTATCCGACAGAACAAAATTTCTTAAAGTTGAAACAGAAATATTAATATTTAGCCGAGTTCAAGTGAACTTTATCCGTTAAAAGATATTAAACAGCATAAGAACTACAAATAAATTGGTACATGTAGTCAATAATTATTTTTTCCACCTTTTCCACGTAGTTTTTATCCGACAGAACAAAATTTCTTAAAGTTGAAACAGAAATATTAATATTTAGCCGAGTTCAAGTGAACTTTATCCGTTAAAAGATATTAAGCAGCATAAGAACTACAAGTAAATTAGTACATGTAGTCCAATAATATTTTCTCCACCTTTTCCACGTAGTTTTTATCCGACAGAACAAAATTTCTTAAAGTTGAAACAGAAATATTAATATTTAGCCGAGTTCAAGTGAACTTTATCCGTTAAAAGATATTAAGCAGCATAAGAACTACAAGTAAATTAGTACATGTAGTCCAATAATATTTTCTCCACCTTTTCCACGTAGTTTTTATCCGACAGAACAAAATTTCTTAAAGTTGAAACAGAAATATTAATATTTAGCCGAGTTCAAGTGAACTTTATCCGTTAAAAGATATTAAACAGCATAAGAACTACACATAAATTGGTACATGTAGTCAATAATTATTTTTTCCACCTTTTCCACGTAGTTTTTATCCGACAGAACAAAATTTCTCTAAGTTGAAACAGAAATATTAAAATTTAGTCCGAGTTCAAGTGCACTTTATCCGTTAAAAGATATTAAGCAGCATAAGAACTACAAGTAAATTAGTACATGTAGTCCAATAATATTTTCTCCACCTTTTCCACGTAGTTTTTATCCGACAGAACAAAATTTCTTAAAGTTGAAACAGAAATATTAATATTTAGCCGAGTTCAAGTGAACTTTATCCGTTAAAAGATATTAAACAGCATAAGAACTACAAATAAATTGGTACATGTAGTCAATAATTATTTTTTCCACCTTTTCCACGTAGTTTTTATCCGACAGAACAAAATTTCTCTAAGTTAAAACAAAAATATTAAAATTTGTCCGAGTTCAAGTGCACTTTATCCGTTAAAAGATATTAAACAGCATAAGAACTACAAGTAAATTAGTACATGTAGTCCAATAATATTTTCTCCACCTTTTCCACGTAGTTTTTATCCGACAGAACAAAATTTCTTAAAGTTGAAACAGAAATATTAATATTTAGCCGAGTTCAAGTGAACTTTATCCGTTAAAAGATATTAAGCAGCATAAGAACTACAAGTAAATTAGTACATGTAGTCCAATAATATTTTCTCCACCTTTTCCACGTAGTTTTTATCCGACAGAACAAAATTTCTTAAAGTTGAAACAGAAATATTAATATTTAGCCGAGTTCAAGTGAACTTAATCCGTTAAAAGATGTTAAACAGCATAAGAACTACAAATAAATTGGTACATGTAGTCAATAATTATTTTTTCCACCTTTTCCACGTAGTTTTTATCCGACAGAACAAAATTTCTTAAAGTTGAAACAGAAATATTAATATTTAGCCGAGTTCAAGTGAACTTTATCCGTTAAAAGATATTAAGCAGCATAAGAACTACAAGTAAATTAGTACATGTAGTCCAATAATATTTTCTCCACCTTTTCCACGTAGTTTTTATCCGACAGAACAAAATTTCTTAAAGTTGAAACAGAAATATTAATATTTAGCCGAGTTCAAGTGAACTTTATCCGTTAAAAGATATTAAGCAGCATAAGAACTACAAGTAAATTAGTACATGTAGTCCAATAATATTTTCTCCACCTTTTCCACGTAGTTTTTATCCGACAGAACAAAATTTCTTAAAGTTGAAACAGAAATATTAATATTTAGCCGAGTTCAAGTGAACTTAATCCGTTAAGGCCAGGCTCCTCCAAAAACCGTGTTTTTTTCAAACAAATTTTATTTATATTACAAAAAATATTTATAAATCAAAGTTTTTATAAATTAAAAGACTTATAAAAGTACTACTTGAAAAAAATTTTTTTTCTTATTTTTTCAAAATGGCGGCTCCTAAAATCGCTGCCGAAACGCGTCCTTCGTGTTGGTGGGTGACAGGATAACTCAAAAACGAATCATCTGAAAGCAAAAATCAAAACGGTTTCTTAATCTGTATCACATTGGCTATGGTGTGAACTACAATAAAATATTTTCACCAAAAAAAAACAAAATGGCAGACTTTTTAAGTTTTTTACCCTTTTTTTTCACTTTTAATTGTTTATAACTTTTGTAAATAACAATGAATATTTTTGGTTGTAGTTCACACCATAGCCAATGTGATACAGATTAAGAAACCGTTTTGATTTTTGCTTTCAGATGATTCGTTTTTGAGTTATCCTGTCACCCACCAACACGAAGGAAGCGTTTCGGCAGCGATTTTAGGAGCCGCCATTTTGAAAAAATAAGAAAAAAAATTTTTTTCAAGTAGTACTTTTATAAGTCTTTTAATTTATAAAAACTTTGATTTATAAATATTTTTTGTAATATAAATAAAATTTGTTTGAAAAAAACACGGTTTTTGGAGGAGCCTGGCCTTAAAAGATGTTAAACAGCATAAGAACTACAAATAAATTGGTACATGTAGTCAATAATTATTTTTTCCACCTTTTCCACGTAGTTTTTATCCGACAGAACAAAATTTCTTAAAGTTGAAACAGAAATATTAATATTTAGCCGAGTTCAAGTGAACTTAATCCGTTAAAAGATGTTAAACAGCATAAGAACTACAAATAAATTGGTACATGTAGTCAATAATTATTTTTTCCACCTTTTCCACGTAGTTTTTATCCGACAGAACAAAATTTCTTAAAGTTGAAACAGAAATATTAATATTTAGCCGAGTTCAAGTGAACTTTATCCGTTAAAAGATATTAAGCAGCATAAGAACTACAAGTAAATTAGTACATGTACTCCAATAATATTTTCTCCACCTTTTCCACGTAGTTTTTATCCGACAGAACAAAATTTCTTAAAGTTGAAACAGAAATATTAATATTTAGCCGAGTTCAAGTGAACTTTATCCGTTAAAAGATATTAAACAGCATAAGAACTACAAATAAATTGGTACATGTAGTCAATAATTATTTTTTCCACCTTTTCCACGTAGTTTTTATCCGACAGAACAAAATTTCTTAAAGTTGAAACAGAAATATTAATATTTAGCCGAGTTCAAGTGAACTTTATCCGTTAAAAGATATTAAGCAGCATAAGAACTACAAGTAAATTAGTACATGTAGTCCAATAATATTTTCTCCACCTTTTCCACGTAGTTTTTATCCGACAGAACAAAATTTCTTAAAGTTGAAACAGAAATATTAATATTTAGCCGAGTTCAAGTGAACTTTATCCGTTAAAAGATATTAAACAGCATAAGAACTACAAATAAATTGGTACATGTAGTCAATAATTATTTTTTCCACCTTTTCCACGTAGTTTTTATCCGACAGAACAAAATTTCTTAAAGTTGAAACAGAAATATTAATATTTAGCCGAGTTCAAGTGAACTTTATCCGTTAAAAGATATTAAGCAGCATAAGAACTACAAGTAAATTAGTACATGTAGTCCAATAATATTTTCTCCACCTTTTCCACGTAGTTTTTATCCGACAGAACAAAATTTCTTAAAGTTGAAACAGAAATATTAATATTTAGCCGAGTTCAAGTGAACTTTATCCGTTAAAAGATATTAAACAGCATAAGAACTACACATAAATTGGTACATGTAGTCAATAATTATTTTTTCCACCTTTTCCACGTAGTTTTTATCCGACAGAACAAAATTTCTCTAAGTTAAAACAAAAATATTAAAATTTGTCCGAGTTCAAGTGCACTTTATCCGTTAAAAGATATTAAACAGCATAAGAACTACAAATAAATTGGTACATGTAGTCAATAATTATTTTTTCCACCTTTTCCACGTAGTTTTTATCCGACAGAACAAAATTTCTTAAAGTTGAAACAGAAATATTAATATTTAGCCGAGTTCAAGTGAACTTTATCCGTTAAAAGATATTAAGCAGCATAAGAACTACAAGTAAATTGGTACATGTAGTCAATAATTATTTTTTCCACCTTTTCCACGTAGTTTTTATCCGACAGAACAAAATTTCTTAAAGTTGAAACAGAAATATTAATATTTAGCCGAGTTCAAGTGAACTTTATCCGTTAAAAGATATTAAACAGCATAAGAACTACAAATAAATTGGTACATGTAGTCAATAATTATTTTTTCCACCTTTTCCACGTAGTTTTTATCCGACAGAACAAAATTTCTCTAAGTTAAAACAAAAATATTAAAATTTGTCCGAGTTCAAGTGCACTTTATCCGTTAAAAGATATTAAGCAGCATAAGAACTACAAGTAAATTAGTACATGTAGTCCAATAATATTTTCTCCACCTTTTCCACGTAGTTTTTATCCGACAGAACAAAATTTCTTAAAGTTGAAACAGAAATATTAATATTTAGCCGAGTTCAAGTGAACTTTATCCGTTAAAAGATATTAAACAGCATAAGAACTACAAATAAATTGGTACATGTAGTCAATAATTATTTTTTCCACCTTTTCCACGTAGTTTTTATCCGACAGAACAAAATTTCTTAAAGTTGAAACAGAAATATTAATATTTAGCCGAGTTCAAGTGAACTTTATCCGTTAAAAGATATTAAACAGCATAAGAACTACAAATAAATTGGTACATGTAGTCAATAATTATTTTTTCCACCTTTTCCACGTAGTTTTTATCCGACAGAACAAAATTTCTTAAAGTTGAAACAGAAATATTAATATTTAGCCGAGTTCAAGTGAACTTTATCCGTTAAAAGATATTAAGCAGCATAAGAACTACAAGTAAATTAGTACATGTAGTCCAATAATATTTTCTCCACCTTTCCCACGTAGTTTTTATCCGACAGAACAAAATTTCTTAAAGTTGAAACAGAAATATTTATATTTAGCCGAGTTCAAGTGAACTTTATCCGTTAAAAGATATTAAGCAGCATAAGAACTACAAGTAAATTAGTACATGTAGTCCAATAATATTTTCTCCACCTTTTCCACGTAGTTTTTATCCGACAGAACAAAATTTCTTAAAGTTGAAACAGAAATATTAATATTTAGCCGAGTTCAAGTGAACTTTATCCGTTAAAAGATATTAAACAGCATAAGAACTACAAATAAATTGGTACATGTAGTCAATAATTATTTTTTCCACCTTTTCCACGTAGTTTTTATCCGACAGAACAAAATTTCTTAAAGTTGAAACAGAAATATTAATATTTAGCCGAGTTCAAGTGAACTTTATCCGTTAAAAGATATTAAGCAGCATAAGAACTACAAGTAAATTAGTACATGTAGTCCAATAATATTTTCTCCACCTTTTCCACGTAGTTTTTATCCGACAGAACAAAATTTCTTAAAGTTGAAACAGAAATATTAATATTTAGCCGAGTTCAAGTGAACTTTATCCGTTAAAAGATATTAAGCAGCATAAGAACTACAAGTAAATTAGTACATGTAGTCCAATAATATTTTCTCCACCTTTTCCACGTAGTTTTTATCCGACAGAACAAAATTTCTTAAAGTTGAAACAGAAATGGGTCAATCCATTATATTTCGACTGAAGTGGTCGCTGACTAATTTTTAAAAATTATAATACTTTGCAGGAATGATTTTGAAGTTATCAAGATCACGAAATGAAAAGAATTTTAATAAAATTTTAATTATTTATTGCAAAATATGAATTTAAAGTATATGAGGTGCTGAAAACTGTCAATTTTTTAGCCATTAGAAAATATGCAAAAATACGTAGAATTTACCATAAAAATAAAAAAATTTTTTTGTAATTTACTAAGAATGAATAAATTTATTATTATCAATTGATATAATTATTTAAATATGTGAAATAATATATAAAATATGATTTTCAAGTTCGCCTGTCAAATAACCTAAATTTGCAAATTTTATCTATTAAATGTGAGAAAGAGAAGTCATTAAATTGAAAAAAACCTTACCAAATATAAAGTACCTGTGACTAACTTTTAGTTTTTCTTAGCACTTTTTTCCTTTTTTCTTCATAAATGTGAAATAAAAAGCAATAAAAATTGGCACTTTGCTTATTTTCACTATTTTCAAATGTAAATAACTTTCTTGGAGAAAACTGAAAAATTACAAAACTTGGGCAATATCTAATTGATCACTAACTACACACACTGAAAAAAAATTCGCTTTGGTCCCGAAGATACTTTTTGAGATAATTAAGTTTAAACTTTTCACAATTTTTATCAGGTTAATACATGTAGTTTTTTAAGGACGAAGTTAGGTTTTATTGGTTAAATATTTTTAACTAACTTCAATTTTATAAAAATCACATGCATTAACCTCATAAAAATTGTAAAAAATTTAAACTTAATTATCTCAAAAAGTATCTTCGGGACCAAAGCGAATTTTTTTTCAGTGTGTGTAGTTAGTGATCAATTAGATATTGCCCAAGTTTTGTAATTTTTCAGTTTTCTGCAAGAAAGTTATTTACATTTGAAAATAGTGAAAATAAGCAAAGTGCCAATTTTTATTGCTTTTTATTTCACATTTATGAAGAAAAAAGGAAAAAAGTGCTAAGAAAAACTAAAAGTTAGTCACAGGTACTTTATATTTGGTAAGGTTTTTTTCAATTTAATGACTTCTCTTTCTCACATTTAATAGATGAAATTTGCAAATTTAGGTTATTTGACAGGCGAACTTGAAAATCATATTTTATATATTATTTCACATATTTAAATAATTACATCAATTGATAATGATAAATTTATTCATTCTTAGTAAATTACAAAAAAAATTTTTTATTTTTATGGTAAATTCTACGTATTTTTGCATATTTTCTAATGGCTAAAAAATTGACAGTTTTCAGCACCTCATATACTTTAAATTCATATTTTGCAATAAATAATTAAAATTTTATTAAAATTCTTTTCATTTCGTGATCTTGATAACTTCAAAATCATTCCTGCAAAGTATTATAATTTTTAAAAATTAGTCAGCGACCACTTCATTCGAAATATAATGGATTGACCCAAATATTAATATTTAGCCGAGTTCAAGTGAACTTTATCCGTTAAAAGATATTAAACAGCATAAGAACTACAAATAAATTGGTACATGTAGTCAATAATTATTTTTTCCACCTTTTCCACGTAGTTTTTATCCGACAGAACAAAATTTCTTAAAGTTGAAACAGAAATATTAATATTTAGCCGAGTTCAAGTGAACTTTATCCGTTAAAAGATATTAAGCAGCATAAGAACTACAAGTAAATTAGTACATGTAGTCCAATAATATTTTCTCCACCTTTTCCACGTAGTTTTTATCCGACAGAACAAAATTTCTTAAAGTTGAAACAGAAATATTAATATTTAGCCGAGTTCAAGTGAACTTTATCCGTTAAAAGATATTAAGCAGCATAAGAACTACAAATAAATTAGTACATGTAGTCAAATAATATTTTTTTTCCACCTTTTTCACTTAGTTTTCATCAGACAGAACAGAATTTCTCAAAGTTGAAACAAATATATTAATATTTAGCCGAGTTCAACAGCCAAGCTAAACCCACGGTAAACCCACGCAACAGTCGCCGTATGTCCACGGTAGACGCACGCAACATCAACGGTATGCCCACGGAAGATCCACGCAAAAGCCGCGTTATGCCCACGGTTGATCCACGCAACAGCCACGGTATGCCCACGGTAGATCCACGCAACAACCACCGTATGCCCACGGTAGACCCACGCAACAGCCACGGTATGCCCACGGTAGATCCACGCAAAAGCCGCGGTATGCCCACGGTAGATCCACGCAACAGCCACAGTATGCCCACGGTAGATCCACGCAAAAGCCGCGGTATGCCTACGGTTGATCCACGCAACAGCCACGGTATGCCCACGGTAGATCCACGCAACAGCCACGGTATGCCCACGGTAGATCCGCCCAACCGCCACGGTATGCCCACGGTAGACCAGTTTTAGAACCAATTTTAGAACTATTTATATAAGCAGTTTTAGCACCACTTTTAGAAGCAGTTTTAGCTCCAGTTTTAGAACCATTTTTAGCACCAATTTTAGAATAATTTTTAGAAACATTTTTAGCACCAGTTTTAGAACCATTTTTATAAACAGTATTAGAATCAGTTTTGCAACTATTTTGAGCAGCAGTTTTAGCTTCAGTTTTTGAACCACTTTTAGCACCAGCTTTAGCACCAATTTTAGAACAATTTTTAGAAACATTTTTAGAAACACATTTAGAAGTATGTTTAGCACCAGTTTTAGAACCATTTTTATCAGCAGTTTTAGCACAAGTTTTAGAATTATTTTTATAAACAGTTTTAGCACCAGGTTTAGAAACATTTTTAGCACCAGTTTTAAAACTATTTTTAGCATCAGCTTTCGCACCTGGTTTAGAACCATTTTTAGAAGCAGTTTTAGCACCAATTTTAGTAATATTTTTAGCATCCACTTTAGTACCAGGTTTAGAACCATTTTTAGAAGGAGTTTTAGTACCAGTTTTAGATCCATTTGTAGAAGCAGTTTTAGAACCATTTTTAGATGCAGTTATAGCACAAGTTTTATAACCATTTTTAGCAGCAGTTACAGCACCAGTTTTATAACCATTTTTAGTAGCAGTTTTACCACCAGTTTTAGAACTATTTTTAGCACCAGTTTTAGCAGCAGTTTTAGAACCATTTTTATAAACAGTTTTAGTAATAGTTAATCTTAATCAATCTAAAATCAATCAATCTTAATCAATCTAAAAAAATCAGTTCTAAAACTGGTTCTAAAACTGTTGCTAAAAATGCTTCTGAAAACGGTTCTAAAACTTGTGCTAAAACTGCTGCTAAAAATGGTTTTAAAACTAGTGCCAAAACTGCTTCTAAAAATGGTTCTAAAACAAATTTTGCACCAGTTTTAGTATTGTTATTTGAAACAGTTTTAGCATCAGTTCAAAGTATGGGGGAAAAAATAACTTTTTTCAAAATTTCTGAACTATGGGCAAAATATGGCGAACTATGGGTGGAAAAAAATTACACAGGCATGAATTTCGCTCTTTTTCATGCTTTCGTGGCGGGGCAGAAATCGCATTTTTTGATTGATTAAGTGTAGCGGGAATAAAATGCTCGCTAGGAGCAGAAAGTAATGGCAGACAGGGAGAGAAATACAACACGAGTCTTCTTGACCGACCAATTTTTTATTCTTATTATTTGGTTTTTCTATAGTCGGGACCGAGGCGCTGCCCCTGGTTCCAGGTGATTATATTTATATTTTGCCGCGAAACTCCTACCTTTGTGGTAAAAAATATCGTGTGTGTCACGGGAAAGAAGCTTTTTTTTACTTGTGTGAAGTTTTTCGCCCGAGCCGAAGAAAAACCAATTTTCTGTCCTTGTCGCACAATATACTATTTTCTAACACACGCACCGAAAGTACACCATTACTTACCTGTGTAACGGGAGAAAAATATGTATTTTCCGACGAGTGGTAATGAAAAATAAAAAAAAAATATTTATGTTTATTGGCCCATAAAGATGATAAAAATGTTTTAAAAATTTTTTCGCTCAATTCAATAATAGAGAAATGTAAAAACTTATAGTTTTTAATTTTTTACGTAATTATTAAAATTAACAAAAATTTTGACGTTACAAAAAAAAATTTTTGCAAAAAAAAAATTGATTCTGAAATCAATCCAAAAATTGATTCCAGAATCAATTTCTTTTGTATAATTCAATAAAATTAGAGAATTCATTATTTTTCAAATTAAAAATTTGATACAAAAAATTTTTTGTCAAAAAAAAATTAGAAAAGTTTGTTGTTTGACAGTAAGCGCCAATAGATGGCAGCTTTTTTCAGACGTTTTTTTTAATGAATTTTATTATTAATTAAATTTAAAAAGATGATAAAAATGTTTTAAAAATTTTTCGCTCAATTAAATAATAGAAAAATGGAAAATCTCATAGTTTTTAATTATTTACGTAATTATTAAAATTAACAAAAATTTTGACGTTCCAAAAAAATTATTCTGAAATCAATCAAAAGATTCATTCCAGAATCAATTTTTCTTTTTTAATCTAATAAAATTAGTGATTTTATTATTTAAAAAAAAAAATCAATTTTTTTTAATAAAATTTATTAATTAATTGATGAATTTTTTTATTTATTTTTATTATTTAGTTTTAAATCATTATTTATTCAGGTGTTAGTAATTTTTTTTTAACTATAAAATGTATACAAGTTAACCCTACTTAACCTGGAATGTTTTTTTTAAATTATTTTTTCTCTACTTACCTTGAGTTAAACAAATCGAAGAAAACATTTGGTATTCCATTTTAGGTTATTTTTCTACACTCACTTCACTTTTTATTTTACATTTAATTTTTTAATTTAATAATTTTGTAAACATTTTCTGTTTACATTTTCAAATTAAAAAAAGAAAATTTCTAGTGACTTTCTCTTAAACTAACCAATCACAACATTTCTTTCAATCGGAAGTCATCCATTTGTTTTTTCACGGAATGCATTACGGATAACCAAAAAACGTAAAAAATATCTTTATTTTTATAAATTTGTAAAAATTTTTTTTTTAATTTTTAACCAAATAGTCCCTCTTAGAATTTTGTCTAGTTTTCTGTGACAAGAGGTTGTTCACATATTATAAATCACCCTGTATATATATATATATATATATATATTCTCATTATATTTCCTTTTAACAATATATAATATAAACTTTCTGTTTGAGTGATTCCTGTTAAAAGGTATATAGACTATATAAATTTGCAGAAGCTGTTTGCGTTCCTGAAGAGATGAGAGCAAAACTTATATATACGGAGATAAGAAAATACAGACAGCTTCCAGAAAGTAGTAGCGACTCTGTAAAAGTCTTCTCTATATAAAATATCAGAAAGTAAGGCTTTCATAAATCGGTTATCGATTCATCGAAGGATTAACAAGAAGAGACAAAAAGTGCAAAGGATGAAGGACGGAGGCGAGTTTAAAGGGGAAAAAAAAAGAGACTAAAAAAAAAAATATGAGCAAGAAGACGAAAGTATGGCGGCCATGATGGTTATAATAGTGTATTGCCTCAAGGAATATAAAACGAGCTGAGATATCATCGCCGCAGCCGCGAGTCGGAATAAAACTATATAAATCGGAGGAAACAATTACCTCGACTCTGGCTCGAAGATACACCTTAATGATAATAGTGGTTATATATATATGTTGCCTACAATCCTTCCTTATATTCTTGGCCCCCCCCCACCCACTCTTTAATTTTGTAGGGTTCCGTTCACGCAGTAAACCGAAACGGAACCCTTATGGTTTCACTTATGTCCGTCCACAAAATCCTGCCCCCCCCCTCTAAAATCTAGCCATTTTAACCGATTAGGCTCAAACTTATAGTACGTATTTTTGCGAGTAGATTAAAGAAAAATTATAGCGAACCCGATTGCTATTGAATTTAATATAGTTAGAGTACAAAAACTCGAAATTTCGGAAAAAAGTGTCCCCCCCTTAAATTTCACAGTTTTGGAGCTACGATGCTCATATTTGGTCACAGTTTTCCTAAAAGTATCAAATTGAGATCAAAAATTGCATCAAATCTTTGCAACGTTTTGATGCCATCTACCTTCTAAAAAGCACGGCTATATTGATTTTATCGACAAATTTTTTCTCATGCATTTTAGGTTATGTTTATAAGCTGTCACTTTTTAATTATCGAATTGCACATTGTCTTTGATTTTCTGTTATTTTCATTTTCAAATTAAATAGTGAAATGGTCTCCGCAATTGTACTATTACCAAAATATCTGAAAAAAATTCGTTTAATTTTGAGTCGATTCAATTCGGCCATGATTGATATAAATTGATTAAATTTTTTGCATAAAAAAATGAGACCGTTTCGTGTATCATTTTTAAAAATGATACACAAAACGATCTCTTTTTGATATAACTTATGTGCATCAAAACGTTGCAATAGAAAAAGATATACAACCAAGTTTACTGTGGTATACGTATTTTTGCGAGTAGATTAAAGGAAAATTATAGCGAACCCGATTGGAATTGAATTTAATATAGTTAGAGTATACAAAAACTCGAAATTTCGGAAAAAAGTGTGTCCCCCCCTTAAATTTCACAGTTTTGCACAAATTTGATAAAATTTGGTATACATACGTATTTTTGAGAGTAGATTAAAGGAAATTTATAGCGAACCAGATTGGAATTGAATTCAATATAGTTATAGTACAAAAACTCGAAATTTCTGAAAAAAGCGTGTTCCCCGCGTCTTAACTTTTAAAGTTTTGGAGCTAAGAAGCTGTAACTTGGTACACATATATATTTAATTTCACGTGGAGATTTCACGAAAAATATAGCCGCAACCCCTTTGAAATATTATATTTAAATATTCGAATTTAAATAATCGTGAACGGAACCCTATAGGTATGCGAGTATAACTCGTACTTGACCAATTTTTTTCAACTAAAAATATTTTTTTAAAAATCTAATAAAAGAAATTCTTTTATAAAAAATATTCATCAAACTAGAGGAACTATAAATTATTTTGAATAAGAGCTAATTCCACAATCTTGATAAAGTAATTTGCAATCTTTTATAGAGCGCGCGTCTTTTATATAGAAAAATTAAGATTAGTGCTGATAATTATTTAAATATATGAATAAATCATAAGTGAAAATATTATATAATCTGTCAGTAAAATTTATATAATGTTAAGTATGAATAATTTCTGATTACAATCTCGAATTTTTTTTTTTCACTATAAAAACAATTGAAATAAAGTTCGCACCATTCAGTGTAAAATCAAACAATTCCATATATATATCCATATCAATTATACTAGATAATAATATATATATCAAAATTGTGCGCGCTTTTATTTTTTATTTCCCGCGCTTCTAACTTTTATAATACAATAAAGAATGAACAAATTTTCACTATATGTATATATAATTATTATGCATTCTAAGTGAATCTAGTGTAAAGTAATGCCTATTTAATGAGGGATCATAATCAACAAGTCCTATCGTAATTACATCAAGGCATTTAGATCATCTGATCAAGGGAAATTTTAATCGCATTTTATATATATATATATTATAATATATGTAGAAAAATCTTAAATACAGAAATTATATACCGTCACATTTTTCATATACAATATAAAAGTTTCAACTTAATTCATTATTCATCATGTATAATTTTATATATAATATTATCCCTTTTTAAGAAACACATGTTCACTGAGAATATAATTTTTTTTTTTTTATCCAACAAAAGGAGTTTATATCTTATTTTTCTGGTATAAATTATTATTTATTTATATTGAAAAAAATATAAAAATACAAAAATTTTTATTTATTAAAGTCTTATTTTTTAATTAATCAATGAAAATTAAATTAAGACAAAATTATTATTTATGTAAATTTCTATATATACGAAAGTTCATAATGCAAATGGTTTAAAATTTATAAATCGCGTTCCGCATTATATATATACAAAAAGCGGTGCGGTCCATTTGTTTACCCTAAAAGTTTGCCGCGCCGCAAGAGAGTGAATTGAAGAGAGAAAAGAGAGAGAAAGAGAGAATGTTAAAAATTCCACTCGATCGCGACGTATATAATTTTTGTTAAATACTATTTTGCTGTGTAAAATTACTTGCAAAATGGAGATGTTGGGAGGGGGGAGGAAGGGAAAAAAAATGCTCGAGGTGGATTCACCTGCGAGGTATGGAAATATAATTTCAACCGAGTCCCCTGCTGTTTTCTAAGGCAGATTTCGCGTCCACCGAACGCAAAACATAAGCGATTGGATACTTCGCGAAATAGCTGAAGAAACGCGCTCTTTAGCATGCTGGAGGGCCAACCGTTAAGACAAGATGATCGTTAACTTTATGGAGGAACACTACGTGAGACGTTTTGCTCCATGGCAATTATAGATCCTTATAGAAAATACCACCATTTTTGCCACGCAAAAATTTATATCCATTTACATTCAAAAAAAAAAAATTTTGTTTTAGAAATTTTCGTTTATAACAAAAATATTAGAGAATAAATTAAAAATTTTGTGAACACAATATATATAGAGTATATTGTCTAAATTTTTTGTTTAATCAAACATTTTTTGATTGTAAAAATATTAAATTATAATTTTAAAAAAATACTTTAAAAAACATTTTTTGTGAAGTAAAAGAAAAAAGAATTAAACGATGAAGATTTTTATTGAAGATGCGAATATATAGCGGTTCATATATACTTGAGTGAAACAACTTCCTGGCAGTTTGCGAATAGTGTCTGAAAGGCCGGTTTCCGATTTTTGCATCGGTTTGCATGATTTTGATTGGAGTGATTGAAGGGAAAAAAAGGGGTGTGGCATTAAAGGAGGTCCATGATTGGGGGGACATTAGCGTAATGAGTGGCGTGCTATAAAGGGGTAAACGTGGTAGCCGCGCGTAAGTACACCTCTATTGCGTGATTAGAGTTCTCCGCGATATCGTGAGCCCGTTTGCTGGAAACCCTATTACCAATGTTAATTTCCAACTGAAAAACCCATCTAAAGCACCGATTTGATAAAACTGCGAAAATACCACAGATGGACTTAAGTATTCCTCGTCTAATTTTCATGTATATACAAAAGAAGAAGAAGAAGAAGAAAAGAAGAAGAGAGAAAAAAAAGAAATAATTCATCCCTATATCTTCTCTAGTTACATTTGGGGGTGTACACCTACGTTTTCTAAATAGTTAGAACGCTAAGTGCATCAGACACGAACCTTCGTGTTCAATACTTATAAGACATATATAGCATATCCAAGTCCATTCGGGTTTAACGATTTGGGAGAAAGGATCTTGATTGTTTAAGCAAAAAAAAAGAGAGGAAAAAAAACACCAAACGATTGGAAATTATCCTTCTAGGCAGAAATTCACTTGGATTTATGAAAAAAATGAATTCTAACAAAGTAAGCAACGGTAACTAGCAACTTCGAATAACCTGTTTGGTATATACTGTTTGGTTGATAATTAAATTCATATTAGAAATGGTAACAAGTGGTAACAGATGATTGAGTACCATTTTAATACCATACATACATTTATTAGTACTATTTTTACATTGGTAGCACTAAGGGAATTATTAATTTAGCCTTGGTACCAGCTGGTACCACACATCTTAAACTATTTTCAGAACAACCAATGTTTTGAACCACAATGAAAAAATCTTTCGTTATTACTGCCATATAATTCTTGCTGTTTCTGTCATATCGTATAACTGAATTAACATATGGAACTGTTACTGCCATACAGTTTGGGTAATCCAACCAAACGAATAGTACTTCCAAAGAACAAGATCTCTGAATTGGTACCAGGTGGTACTACATCAGATACCATTTCAAAAACATGGTACCAAACATTTTAAACTATTTTAATTATTGATACCAAAGATAAAAGTAAGTTTTTAGTCTTGCTACCAAGTGATACCACAACTAAAACTATTTTCTGAACAACCAATATGTTTTGAACTATTTTTAACATTGGTACCATAGACAAGAAATGGTTTTTAACCTTAATACCAGGTAGTACCACATCTAAAACTATTTTCAGAACATGGTGCCAATGTTTAAAAGCATTTTTAACATTGGTACCATTGACAAAAATTGGTTTTTAGCCTTGGTACCAGGTGGTACCACATCAGATACCATTTCAAAAACATGATACCAAACATTTTAAACTATTTTAATTATTGATACCAAAGATAAAAATAAGATTTTAGCCTTGCTAAAGTAAGTAAGTTTTTAGTCTTTCTACCAAGTGGTACCACAACTAAAACTATTTTCTGAACAACCAATATGTTTTGAACTATTTTTAACATTGGTACCATCGACAAGAAATGGGTTTTAACCTTGATACCAGGTGGTACCACACACGGAGAAAAAAGATTTCTTTTATAAAGTAACTTTTACTACTTTCAGAGTAAAACTGGACCAACTCGAAGTTTCTGCGCATCTCTGGCAATTTTTACTCCAAAAATAGTAAAATTTACTCTAGAAATAGTAAAACTTATTACGGAAACAGTAAAATTTACTACAGAAATAATAAATTTTACTATTTTTGGAGTAAAAATTGCCAGAGATGCGCAGCAACTTCGAGTTGGTCCAGTTTTACTCTGAAAGTAGTAAAAATTACTTTTTCTTTTTCTCCGTGCATCTAAAACTATTTTCAGAACATGGTGCCAATGTTTAAAAGCATTTTTAACATTGGTACCATCGACAGAAATTGGTTTTTAGCCTTGGTACCAGGTGGTACCACATCAGATACCATTTCAAAAACATGATACCAATCATTTTAAACTATTTTAATTATTGATACCAAAGATAAAAATAAGATTTTCGCCTTGCTACTAGGTGGAACCACAACTAAAACTATTTTCAGAACAACCAATGTTTTGAACAATTTTTAACATTGGTATACCATCAACAAAAATTACTTTCTAGCCTATTTCAAGAATATGGTACCAATGTTTTAAACAATTCTTATTATTAATACAATGGTCGCAAAAATACCGATTTCAAATCTGTTTTGATAGCAATTTCAAATTGCCTTTTATTAATCATATTAACTAATTTAAAGTTTAATTTAAATAATTTCATTTGTGTAAAATACAGTTCCTATTTCTAATATGTATACCATGATAATATTTCTTTTTGTTAATGGTAGCAATTGCTAAAACGCATTTTATTCACGTACCGATTGGCCCATAAAAAAACAGTTCTCAGCAATTGGCATCATTGACAGTGTATTATTTCAAATTGCTACCAATACCAATAAAATATATATTGTTAGAAATTGGCAGCAATTTCAAATACCGTTTCCTAGTTATCAATATCGTTTTAAATTCTTGATATTTGAAGAAGAAGGAATTAATTTGCTAGAAATTAATTTTCATCGTTAATAATTGCTAAAATAGGTATTTTATTACTGAACCAAAATTGCCATAGGAATTTTCTATTATTAAAAACAATTGTCAACCCCCTTTTAAAACAATAATTTTAATAAAAAATTGTCTAACTGTTTTTGCATTTTGCCGCCGTGCACAAAGATTTGAAAAACTATATCGCAACTTTTGATCGGATAATTGGATAAGTGTATGATCAATTTAGAAAGTATGGAGCTCGCGCGCAAGTGAAGGGAACGTATATATATATATATATATATATGTAAAGGCGTTATGGTTTAGGTAAAAGGTTTTTAACTTCTTTGGTCAAGAAACATTACGTATTCAGTGGCCAGCGCCATTTTACTTCGACCATTTTTGCCGATCAAATCTTAATTGTTGGCTGGCGGCTGTCTATGGAGGCGTGACTAACCGTTGGTTCAACGTTCAGCCACGCGATATATATACACGCGAAAGCATTTGGCTTTCTTCTTTTGCCTCTCCTCGCTCCCTATATATATATACAAATTCGATATGCAGCTTCATCTTTTTCTTTAAGCCAACAGGTTGAGATCAGGTTTTTCCTTTAGCTTGCAAAACAGCGCTCCGTTACCGGTTCGCAAAATTGCCAAAGCCTCCTATGCAAATTAACCTGATCTGCGCGCATCCATTTGCAATATATATATACTCTCTTCAAAATGTTCACATTCTTCAGGTTCGAAATATTATTTTTCTATACTTATCTCAAAAACGAAAGTGAAGCTAATTTTTTTTTTTCTCAAGAAAGGATATTGTATACAAAAACAGAATAGGATAAATTTCTATATATACCAAACGGAAAAAAGAAAACTAGAATAATCTAATTTTTGAGAAATGACACACTCGAGTGGAAAAAATGAAGTGAAGCAAAGATATTATCAATTAGGAGTAGATAAATAAAGCGTTTTATTGAAACAGGTACTACACATCAGAAATCTGCCAGCCTCCTTTTCTTAATGACATGTATTACTCTGATTGGCAACAATTGGTAACAATTGACGGGCGGAACCCCGCTTGAAGGTTCTGCTGCCTTGCCCGCGTTGTTTACGACCAGAACTTTGAAATGTTACACCTTAATTGCCTTGCTACATGCTCGAGGAATTATCAAGGCTTTCTTGCTTCCGTACGTGGTCGCAAACCGCGCGCTTATACACTATAAGGAGACGACGACTCTCCATTTGCCATTTAAAGAATCGGACTGTTCAAGTCACGTTTTTGCACATTTGTTTTAAAACCTTTCTTTTCTAATTACATGTAATTTTCCACTCATCTTGAACAACAACAACAAAAAATGGCGTTAACGATATATCCCTCCATTGCCAACTGCTCATTTTATTATTGTGTTAACCATCCTCTTTTTGTAATCAACAAAATTACCATCTCTCTCTCTATCATCATCACTTTTATATTCAAATTGTCGGGAATTTATTTTCAATTTTATATATAATAATATATGTAACTCGTTAATGCAAATATTTTCAAAACAATATGGAAAGAAGAAGAACGAAAAAATAATTGTAATAAATTTTTTTATAGCATTTCAAATAATGTTTCACTACAATAATTCCAAACAATGGTAATTTCAAAAAATACTAATGTTTTATAATAATAATCATTTTTATTATAAAAACAAAAAATTAAAACAATTTCTAATATTTTTCAAATAAAAATAGAAAATTATTTCACGCACGAAAGTTTCAGTATATATATAAAATCCAACGAAGGATAAGAAAGGAGAATTTTTATATATTTTCTTTAATTCGAGTGACGCAGATAAATTGATTTTTTCATCGCCCACTGACACAGTAACATTGAAAAGAAAATGTCGTTATTCCATTGTACGATAAAGCCACAAACAACTTTCACAGAATGTCAAATGACAAATGTAGAGCATCATGAATTTTAATTGGTTGATTCTATGATCCATTATCATAGAATCTTACAATTGAAATAATAATCCAAGACGGAAGTGGAATTTCAAAAAAGTTTATAAAATAAAAAAAAACGGAGAAAAATATAAAAGAAGACACAAGAGAATTTTTCAAGTCAGTCTTTCATTTTGAATCTATTCGTGTACATCTTTCTGTTTGTTGATCTCAAATTTTTTTTCAAAAAATTAAATAAAAATGCCTAGTAAAATAATTGTAATTTTTATTTTTATTTCCATCAGCAGTGCATGTTTAATAACAAATTGTCCTCGTGGTGGAAAAAGAAATTACGAAGATTCTTCAATTGAAAGTGAAAATGTAGGTATATAATAATTTTTATTTTTATTCATAAATTTTAGAGCAATTAAAATAATATTAGAAAAAAAATTTTTATTTCTTTTTGCTCTATAAAAATATTGACATGTTTATTTCAAGCAAATAAAAATATATTTGTCTCAGAGATTTTTTTTTATTTGTTTTAAATAAATTATTTATTTAGCACAAATATTTATTTGGCTCTGAGATAAATATATTTATCTTATATATATGAATTCAAAAAAAATCTTTCAATAAAAAAAAAAAGAATTAAAATTCAATAATATTCTTTCTACACAGAATTCATTGGCAAAAAATTCAGATCAACAGACAATACACACTTGGGACAGATTTCGGCAGAATTTAAAAAATCGAATTCCAATAAAAACTTCAAAAGAACTTGAACTTCTATTATTATTCAATGTTTGTAAAATGTTACCACAAAGGGAAGATTATAAAATTTGTTCCTCTCAATTACTCAAGTAACATTCCAGAATTATATATAAAGTATAGAAGAAAGAAAAATTAATGAAAAAAAAAAAAAAAATTCCTTCATTGTAGAAACCAAATAAAATATTAAAACAAACAGAAAATAATTCCTAAATTTTCCTTTCCGTAAATTCATTTTTATTTTCAAAAACGAATTTGAAAATTTATTTATTTATTTGTATATTATAAAATTTGTATATTGACAATTAAAATTCGAATAGTTATGAAATCGAATCAGCTAGCATTGTTTTTGAAAAAAGAATAAAATTAGAATAAGAGATGATGAACTTATATATATGAGGGCACTTGAGAAAGGAATTCTCCGCATTCACTTCAAGCCGCAGTCGCATTAATCCCTATTAGGAATGCTCTAATCTAAATATGGTTATGCATGCGCATTTGGAATTGTGTATTGGATGTGAAAATGCAAACTTGCAGACGCAAAGTTATCCATGCATATATGTATACATATATATGCGAACTTCGAAGCCAAAGGGGCTTTAAAGAGTTGAACCGGTATGTGAACGTTCTTGTATAATAATCACTCGAGAGTCGCCAGGAAACAAGGAAAAAAAAAATATATATATATATATATACAATATTCCTAAGGGGTTAGAGACTCTCCTCAAGGGGGCTGAGCATTTGCAGTTTATGAGCGAGTAATATACCCGATGGACCTTGTATAAGCATCCGTGTTGCTGGGGAAACTATTACGACATCGTTAAATTGATTCTGTGATAAAATTCGATTTAAAAATCACTTTTTCCCATTTTCCTATTCCTTTAAGAGAAAACACTGCTAAACATTATATATAGAAATTAATATCTACAGGTATTAATGCAAAAAATTTTAACTATTTCTAAATAAAAAAAAAAATTTAATTCTTAATTTAACAGAAAAAAATATTTTTTTGACTATAAAAAAATTATTGGTTTGAAATTCATAGAAAGGAAATTTTATTTTAAAGAAAGTATAGCCCATTAACAATAACCTCTACTCAAACTAAAAAGTTTTTAACAAATAAAATTAATTTTATCAAATTTTGAAAGATTTCAATATTTTCAAAATAATTTTGCGCAAAGATTTATTTTTTAAATATAATAATTATTTCAATTTTTATATTTTTTGTTTAAAATTTTGATAATTTTTACATTGAAAATAAAAATTTATTTGATTCAAATAATCGATGACTATTATCAAATAAATCTTTAGTTGAAATAAATAATTTTTATTTGAATTAAATAAACTATGTATAAAAATAATTTCTGTATTTTGAAACAAAATACCTACTATACTTAATTGACTCAAATAAAAAATATTTCGTTCAAGTAAATATTTATTTGATAATAAAGTATAAACAATTATTTGAATCAAATAAATTTTTTTATATCCAATTTTTACAATAATCATTTTGCTTTTTGAATGATTTTCTATACCTGTTCTGAATTTAATTAACAATATTTTGTTTAACAGTTAACAAATAACATTTTTTTATATTTTTTAAGCGAAATATTATTTAACGAAAACACAAAATCAGAATTTTAAAGAATCTTTTAAAGAGAAAAAGGAGTTATTGTCTATAAAAATTTACATAACTTTTAAAAAAGAACGAAAAATATTAAATAATTACTATTTGTTAATAAATTTTAAAATATTATTTTTTAAATTGTAAATTTTTCAAAATTTAATTTAATAAATTTTGAAATATATTTCTATCTCTGTGAAAAATTATTTGTTTAAAATATTACGAGGCTAAGTACACTTAAAGCTCTCAAATTGTTTTTTATATTTTTTGTTTAAAATTTTGATAATTTTTACATTGAAAATAAAAATTTATTTCATTCAAATAATCGATGACTATTATCAAATATAAATCTTTTGTTGAAATAAATAATTTTTATTTGAATTAAATAAACTATGTATAAAAATAATTTCTGTATTTTGAAACAAAATAACTACTATACTTAATTGACTCAAATAAAAAATATTTCGTTCAAATAAATATTTATTTGATAATAAAGTATAAACAATTATTTGAATCAAATAAATTTTTTATATCCAATTTTTACAATAATCATTTTGCTTTTTGAAAGATTTTCTACTTGTTCTGAATTTAATTAACAATATTTTGTTTAACAGTTAACAAATAACATTTTTTAATATTTTTTAAGCGAAATATTATTTAACGAAAACACAAAATCAGAATTTTAAAGAATCTTTTAAAGAGAAAAAGGAGTTATTGTCTATAAAAATTTACATAAATTTTAAGAAAGAACGAAAAATATTAAATAATTACTATTTGTTAATAAATTTTAAAATATTTTTTTGAAATTGTAAATTTTTCAAAATTTAATTTAATAAATTTTGAAATATATTTCTATCTCTGTGAAAAATTATTTTTTTGAAATATTACGGGGCTAAGTACCCTTAAAGCTCTCAAATTGTTTTTTATATTTTTTTCATATTTTTTTCATTAGAGAAATTAAGTTTCACGAATATAAAAAACGTTTTGAATAAAGAAATGTTGATAATTACTATTGAGAAAAGGAAGTATACTAGAGAGTAATATGCATATATGTTTTTGCATACATGCATGAAAAATTGGAAAACGAAGGTTGAAATATTTCTCTTCTATATATATATATATATATGTATACATGTATATATATATAGAAAGACAGAAAGAGAGATAGGTGAATGGGAAATAAAACCGCGTTAAGGTTGTTTCTTTGAGCTCGCGGGATGAGTGGACTGTATCGTAAAATATTCGCTTTATGGGCAATTGCTATTTTATTGGGTGTTTTCTTGACCGCTTATAAAAGCACTAGCTTTTAACAACGCAAGATAAGGACTTTATGGAACCTGGCGCCTAAGTTAATTATTATTCACCTGATATATTGTACCGTACGGTATGCCAACTTTGTCTCGCATAAAAGAAATGTAGAGAATAATAAACTCTTATTTTCGCATATATATTATTTTTTTCTCCATTCAATTTCACTATTTTGCAAATATATATATATATAAAGTTTACTTTATTAGTTATTAAAAAAAATTATTATTTATCCGAGTTTAATTATTTGTAAATAATTTAAAATTTATTCAATTATAAATTATAAATTTAATTAAATTAAATTCAATCGAAAAAAAAAATTATTTATCAATGAGATCAGCGAGTGGGTTTGTGGTTTCCAAAATTACAATATATCAAAAATATAAAGGAATTATATATATGACAATGTGTTATACACATTTGAAATATGAGAGAAGATATTTCTAACTCCCTTCCACGCGAATGTGGTGAAATATACAATAGGTTTCTGATTATATGCTTTAAACGAACCAAAATTGGTACCGAGCGTAATAAAATAATTGAGATAACCACACGTTGCAAGGATGACTCTCCTGCTTTTAGTTATATTACGGACTGACCAACAAATTGATTACTGCAAGAATGTTTCCATTTAAAGTGAAAATATGTATTTTATATATATATATATATATATATTTTGAGCTTAAATGTAATATTTTACTTTATATATTACTTTGAAATTACTGTCAATTAAATTCTGTATAAATATAAGTATATATAACTATATCATCAGAATTTAGGAAAATTTTAGATTTTTGTGCGCTAAAAGAAAAATTTTGTTCCTCAATTGTCATTTAATTAAAATAAAAATTACTTAATAGGCAGAAACGATGCATTTAGATAGAAAAAAAAAAAAATGTTACAATTATTGGAAAATACAAAAATAAATTTCATCTGTAACAACGAAAGATTTCGCTAATGAAATGAAAAAGAATTATTCGATTCAAATAATCGTTTACTTGATTAATTATCAAATAAATATTTATTTTTATTAACTAACTATTGTTTGAGTTAATTAAATTTTTTTTTCAAATACAGAAATTATCGGTTCAAATAGTTTATTTAATTCAAATAAAAATTATTTGATTCAAATATAATATTTTTTTAATAAAAAAAAAACAAAATATATAAAATAAAAAAAAATAAGTAAAATACATAATAATAATAAATAATTTGATACGAATAAATATTTTTTTGTTAATATTCGATTATTTGAATGAAATAAATTTTTTTTTCCATTTAGTGAAAGATTGTATTAAAATAATTAAAAATATAGATAAAATTTCTATAGAATTTTTTTTTATAGCGAAAGATCAAATTGAAAAAAGCATATAATTGTGTAATAAAACATTTAAAATAATGTGAATTATATAAAAGATGCGGAAATCATACAAAATGTAAAAATTTACATGAAAAGATAAAAGCGCAACGATGCGATGAATATATATTGTGAACGATCGAAAGCGGGAGATTATTTTGCCGGCGGAATGAGGGTAGAAGTGCGCGGCTATATACGATTTATGCTGCGGCGGAAAATATAATTTTGAATTCAGCTCAGGATTTTAGAGAAGTAATGCAAACTGCAGAGAAAGTGTTTCGCTCTGAATTCGGATCGCGATTATCTAATTTCAAATTATGCGTATATGCGTATTCGTATATATATTATATATATACACACAAATGAGAATAGATTTACTCAACAATTCTCTGCAATATAATTTGTTGGGATATAATATTAAAATTGCCACACAGAATTAAATTAAGAAAAGAAAAAAATTAATTCATGTACCAATGAGACTGGAATCTATAATCAAAAATTTTCAACAAATAAAAAAATGATGATTAATTGAATCAAAATTATTTCTTTCGAGGGATTTTTTTTTTTAAATTTATAATAATTTATAATAATTTTGCAAATGGTATAATATTTTTGCATGTGTAAAAAGAAAGAAATAAAATAAAAGGTTATTGAATTAATGAAATGATTAAGTATACAAAAAGGTATGTGTACTTTTCATTTGATTCCATTTAATTTGCAGTAATAGAGCTTTCGATTATGCATGATATCATTCTATCTGATGTAAATGATGAACAGAAAGTTATAAATTTACATAGGCGTGACGGAACGCCATATTTGAATGTAGGTAATATATTCATATATCGCGGGAGGTATCATGTTGTTTGTAGCTTGTAATGACAGCACGCTATACTATATAACTTGTAGTCATGAGACTCAGTAACACTTCATAAACATATCCTCTTGTCATCCTACAGGACATTATAGAATTTATACAGCGAGCTACAAGTTAAATCAGATGGACATAATGTATCCCCTTTTTAATATTTTCTTCTAACTTTCTTAATTCTATTTTAAAATCCATTCAAATTTATTTAATTTTTCTTATTACTAATACAACAATAAGATTATAAAATATTGAAAATCAATTTAAATAAATATTCTTTCTTGGAAAATAAGGTTTTTTTTAATATTTGTAAAAAAAATTTCGATTATTCAAAGAATAAAATCAGAAACCAAAATCTCATTTTGTTCAGTGAAAAAAAAAGAACAGAATTCGAAAAATTTCAAAAAAGAAATGCAACAACTTCAAATGTAATGTTTTTTTTTATAAAAACCGAAAGAAATATTGTAACTCCTAATCCAAGTTTTCCAACAACGAAATCAAATAAAAAAAGACAAAATCTGATAGAAATAATTAAATTCAACAGAAAATATGCGCAACCATCTAAACATTCCCAAAATGAAAAACAAGAAGCGAAAATTATCTTTAAAAACTTCAAATAATTCCTATCGAAATCTGATACAATTGTGCAGAAACAATTTCGAAAAACTTCAAACTTAATTTTTTATAGCATAATAATAACAAGAAAATTTTAATTTAAATAAAAATTATTCTATATAATTTTAAAAAGAATTATTATGTGGAAAATAGGGAAAAATTTCCATATTGACAGTGAATAGAAATAATTTTATTAAAAGCCAACAGTAAAATAGACAATTTTTTTTTAATTAAAAAACTAAAAATTGTGAATAAATTTTAGTTGGGCTTTTAATAAGTAAAGAAAATATAATAAATGTACCTTTATAAAACCTGTAAAAAAAATTATTAGTAAACATCCTATTCTAAATTTTAATTAAAAAAATATATTTTCTTTAAATTCAATTTAAAAAATTACTCTTAATTACCAATTTTATTATTTAATTAAAATTATTTCAATTGTTTTAATTAAAAATATTACTCATAGTTTAGAAACTATATTTACATTTTAATTCAAAAAGTTTTAATATGAAATAATATATTTTTAGAAAAATTAAATCTTTTCTTGGTTTTAAAATATTTAGATTACCAAAATCTTATTTTAATTCTTTACATATTTTTTATAGTGAATTAATTAAAATTCTTAATTGTCTTTTGTAAAAAATTCATAATGTTAATAAAAACATATTTTAGAGACAAATAATTTTAATTTTCGCGTACCAAGAAAAGAGTATATTCTAATCTAAAAGAAAAATGTATAAACATGGATTATCCACTTGCTAATTAAATGGATTAAATATTTATCAATTTAATTAGCCGCCAATATGGAATTTTTTCAAATTGTTACAACCTGTTTCCGCCACATTACTATTGAAGAACAGGAGGGACTTACAAATTGCTGATATTTATGATGAAAAGAAGATGCTGATGTCCTCATGTCAAAAAGAGAATGCTGCGACGTCTGTGCAAAAGAAGTACGTGTCTGCGCTGTCCTTGTTGGAGAGAAAATTCTGATCTCCATGCCGGAAAGATGATTTTAATGCTGCGATATTGGAGAGATGTTGGAACCATTGTTTCTTTTTCTTGTCCTGAAAATAAAAAAAAAATAATGTAAAATTGATATGGAATCGAAAAATAAATAACAAAAAAATAAAAACATTTTTTGGCTTTAAAAATATTTTTTTAAATTAATTATTTAAATTGTATTCAACAAATTTAAAAAATTTAAACAAATACAATAAATGAGTTAAATAAAATTAACAAAAGTTAACAAAATAAATTTTTAAATTCACCGTAATTGAAAATAGAAAACTGGAACTTTTTTTCTAAACTCCCGTATCTTTTCACAATCCTCTTTATTTATGCAGACATTTAATGGAGAAAGCTGTAAAATAAAACAAATAAAAGTCTAAATATTTACTGTATAAATAAAAAAAATTGTTTTATTAGAACATTTTATATTTTTTCATATCAAATATAATATTTTGGAATCGAATTATTTTATCTCTTTACGATTGTTACTTGGATTATTCTAATTGAATATAATATTGCAATAAACACTACATTTTTTTTTGGTTAAAAATGCAAACACAAACCATAACCTAAAATTCTACGACAAAATATGCACAATTATTATTTTCAAAAAACAAATTAAACTATAGAATAACAAAAAGATATTTCGAAATAAAATAATGATCAAATATCAATATATATAGCAACGAACCAGAAATTTGAGATTTATTCAGATAATAAAATTTTCTGGTCCTATGAGAATATTTTTTACGCTAGCAATTTTTTTTTTAATTTATTAATTACAACTTAGAACTTACCATAAAAATTGCGACCATTGTCCCTTTATGCGAGATGAGATTTTCTTTATAGGTTATGATCTAAATGTTCATCATGGGAGCTTCCTCGATGTCCATTTGAATAATTAGATGAATATCGATGTCAAAATAGACAAAGCACAAGTTGAGGTGACTTCATCTATGTCCAAATTCGACTGTTGATAACCAAAATAGAAAGCTGAAAAGACAAAAAAATATACGATTAATCTCGCCGATTAGACGCCGCCATTTTGGAAAAATGTCATTTTTTTCACTATAGCAAAATTTTTGCAAAATAATTCTAACCTTTATGGTATCACTACTTAGAAGCATTAAATACTTCTCATTTATGAAGAAATTTAAAACAATTTAATTTTATTTGCCCAATTTTTAACAATTTGTATGCAACATTTGCATATATCACTGACTCACACATACATCTATCGATTACTGATCAATTTTGAACACAATTATTATAATATATCGTGTAATCCAACTCAAACACCAATTAGAAAACAAAATTTTGTGAAAAATTTAAAGAAAATTACCTTTTTTCGATGAAAACCTCAGCACGATGCACTGCAACCGCCAATTTCAGCAAATTTTTCAACAGGAATAGACGAAGGTCAGTGTCCTATGCTCCGATTGGCTGAAACATAAATATGATTTTCTAATTGGTGGACAAGGTTTTGTTTAAACTTTTCAAGTATAATTATATTGTAATAGATATTATATTACAATTACAATATTATTAGACAATTTTTATAATTAAATTTCATTACATTTTATTGAGAAAAAGATTAAGCACTTTATATTATAATTTTAATTTTTAATTTCATTAAAAACAAATATTTATACTTCTAATAAATTATTCAATTGACTAGTGACGCCATAACATTTTTTACATCCGGTTGCGCGAAAAGAACAGTAATTTATTTGTTTTGCGCAATTAACTTGGCTTTTCCCGCTTTTTCGACATTTCAGCTGAGACATATTTTTGCAAAAATTATTATAATTTTTTCCATAATTCATTAAAAAGAATAATCATGTGAAAGTGTTAAATTTCTTGTTCTTAAATCACTGTGGTGAAAATCAACAGGATTAATAATTAATATATTGCTGACACAATTCCAGGTAACCTCAAATTTTGTTTTTAAATGTAGTTAGAGAGAGATTTTGAAAAAGTAAAACAAAGGCAAAATAAATAAAGATTTGAATATTAGATATAAATCCCGCACTTTTGTTTTGAAGGTAGAATAGTTTTCTACTTTGAAATGATAACCGGTTATTGTGACGTCACACACAGTTCTCTTACTCATCGAATTCCTTCAACACGTTGCGTGCAAGTCGCCTGTGTTTATATCAATTTTAACAGTCTTTTCCATTAGAAATTATTTTACAGGTAATTCTATTAATTTCAACTTTAACCTTAATGTAAATTTTAGTGTTAAAATAATCTACAATTTGTGTATTAACAAAATCTACTATAAATAGTGTCGAAAGGTGTGTTAATTGTTTATGCCAATCTGGTGATTAAAAAAATATATTCCAAGTTTCCATAATTAATTGATTTTATAGATATTAATAATATTTTGAAAAATCATGTAAGTATTCATTGTAATATCATTAGAAATATTCTTTTTTTTCCATGAAAAAAAAATGAGGTTAAGTTGATTCTTTTATTTAATTCATTATTGGTACACGGTGTGGCAGCACCATACGGAGGTTTAAATTCAAAAAAAATATTTTCTATTTTTATAATCAATTTCATTTTGTAACTATTTTTAATGTAATATATAGTAATGAATTTCTATAAAATTGAGAAAATTCAGTTCTAATAATTTTACATTCTTTTTATTTTAATTAAATTTGAAATTTTTTAAATATTTTACTACATTCTAAATTTTTAATTTATTTATAAACAAGTACATTATTTTTGTTTTATATTATTTTTATTACAATATAAAATTAACTTTTGTTAATGCAATTTTTAATGCAATTTAGCAGTGAATTTCTATAAAATTGAGAAAATTCAGTTCTAATAATTTTACATTCTTTTTATTTTAATTAAATTTGAAAATTTTAAATATTTTACTATATTCCAAATTTTTAATTTATTTATAAACAAGTACATTATTTTTGTTTTATATTATTTTTATTACAATATAAAATTAAATTAATCTAACTTGATTTATATTTTCAAAATAATTTTTAATATAATTGTCTAGTAATTTTAAAAAGAAATTTTTATTTCAGAGTTGAATTCTATTGTTTTGGAAGATAGAGAAAAATGGTGTTCATTCCCATAGAGAAATTTTCATGAGGATCATCATCCCTTTAGGCCCTTATAATGTAGAGACTGGCGCCATGGCGCGCACCCGCGTCTTTGTACTTTGAATCCTATATAAGCTCCATGAGAAGTTCTTGATTCATCTTTTCATTACAGTAATTTGCAAATATTCCCCTTGAAGTCAATAAGAGGGGGGAAAAAAAAGGCAAAAGAGCTCCTCGGATTTACAGTAAATCGTTTTTAAGGGTTGGGATAGCGAGAGACAGCTTCTCACTGTTTTATTCTCTCTTTATATATAGGAGGGAGAGAGAGAAAAAAAGAAAAGAAGAACCCAAATCGGTGGCGGATTGGAGGCCTCGGGCTTGCTTTTGCGGATTCTCGGCGTGATGCCGGTGATTCGCGGTCTTAAAGGTGCCCAGTAATCGAGTTCTTCCAAACCGCCATATTCAACGTTTCACTGTCCTCAAAAAAACCCTCCTTCTCTTCCTCCTCCACGATTGTCCTTCTCTTCTTTGATGCCGGACGCATCGTCGCCGCCGCCTTTGCACGGTTTCATCGTTTTGATATAAGCGGCGGCGGCGGCGACTCCAGCCGTGCGCGGTTGGTGTATACCACTACTCAGCAATCTCGTGGTAAACACAGCAATTGCTTGATGCGGTTCGCATTAATATAATTAGTCACCGCGAGCACTCAAGCGAACGAGTGGTCATCGTCGAGGACCAAGGAGACTCATCCCCCGGAGGCACTTTATCTATATATGGCACAACAGAAACTTGAGCATTATGGGTAGGAGGGTTGGTGTGCGGGGCGTGTCGTCGACGAACAGGGATCATTTTCATTTCCATCTCATATGAGTGTTAGAGCTGCACAATCAAACGAAGAAGAAGAAGTAGTTGTATATACAAGTACATAAGAGAGCAGCCGGAATCTTTGCGCCCTCCAGCCATGCGCACTTTTTTTTTTTTCAAAAGGCGACGACGAGCCGCGCGGAAACGATTCCCCGTCAATTGGCTATAATGATGGAAGAAGGTACATTCGTTCCTGTCTGCGTTCACGGTTTACAAAGTAGCAACCTTTGCGCCCGAAATCTTATCTACAATTAACTAACCATCAATTCGATTGGAGGGAGGCTTTTTTTGATATAGTCAAGATTATTGTTGATCATTGTGATTCAAGAGCGTGATCTCTTGTGTTAAATTTAGTACACAAACCATCTGCAAAGAGCTCAGGCCTTTTTTGAAATGATTATATGGCAATTTCTTGTCACGATAATAATTAGGAAATAGTTTTGATGTTATCGAAATTATTTGATGTGATCACATTTGATGGAAATTACCATTGTTTCGCAACATTGAAAATTCTCAACGATAGTACTTTCATTGCAAACACCCGACAATTTCTTAAATATATATTGTCGGATGTTAGCGAAACAAATGGTAATTTCATTTTAATGCAATCGAGAGACGCTACCATCGTTTTTGAAAAAATTATTTTTCAAATCAAATAATTAGCACAATTAAATTTCTTTATATCTAAATTAAAATTATATTAATAAATATAAAGAAACTTTTTATTTTTAGTAATACAAAATTATTTGAAAATCTTTTATTTCGAAATAAAATTTAGTTATGAATTCTTTGAGTAAAGTGATTAAAATATTTTTCAGAATGCCACCGAAGAAAGTGGAAGAGCCAGAACGGAAGCCGCTGATCGGCCGTGTTGGAGTCAATCTCAAGGTTGGAATTGTGGGTATTCCGAACGTTGGAAAATCAACCTTCTTCAATGTACTTACCAAGAGTCAAGCAGCCGCAGAAAACTTCCCGTTCTGCACCATTGATCCTAATGAAAATAAGTATTTAAATCGCTTTTTAAATATTTAACTTTTTTTGTCTGAAAAAAATGAATTTATTTTTTTTGTGCTCGCAAATATTTTACTATCAAAATTGAATTTTAAAAAATGCGTTTCGAAAAAATTGAAAAAAAATATGCTCTATTGTTTTAAAAAAAAAAAAGTCCACTTTAAGGTTATTCGATTCCATTAATAATTTTAATTAATTTATATTTTTCAATTAAATTCTCTAAATAATGAATTCGCAAAAAATGTCAAATGATGATGAGAAATTTTTTGTGAATACTTCATGTATTACAAAAAGAAGTTTGCTACCGTTTATTAAAAATTATTCACACATTTCTAAAAAATTATCATGGCATCTTCCCCATTCACGCAAATATCCTTATGCAAATATTTATTATTCATTTGGAGAATATACAAATCCCTTTACAAGAATTAAAGAATTTGAAAAATTCAATTGTAATGAACAAATTTTCGAACCACATTTTTCATCACCAAAAATTCCATTTTTAGAACAAGATCCCTACTCGGAAAATGGGGCAAAAATAAATTATTTACAAACTCCACCTGTTTGTTTTGTGATTTTTGGAAAACCTAATTTAAATTCACATAAATTAGCGCAAATGATAGCGAAATCATGGAAATGTATTTTAATATCAGCCGAAACTGTAATTCAAGAATTAATTGAGAAAAATTCTCCACTAGGTCAACAAATTTCGAATATTTTAAAATCAAACGGAATTATAGAACAAGAAATAATAGAAAAATTAATTGAGGAAAGAGTAAATCAACAAGATGTTAAGCATCGTGGTTATATTCTCGAGGGATGGCCCCTAATATCAAATTATTGTCATCAAAATCGAATCAATGAGAAAAATAAAAAAATTGTTCAAGATTCTTTGAATAATCTTAATAAAATGAAATCTAATGAGCCTTGTGAATATTATATTTCGAGACAAATAAAAAATGTGTTCAATTTATGGTCTTTGAAACCAAAAATAATTATCTACATGGTTTGTCCAGTCCTCGATTTTAATTACAAAAGAAATAATTCTATTTCCAATTCCCATAAGGATGAAACATTCGAAATTTATGAACGCTACGCTCTTCCAACTATCGACAAAATTCTTCTTAATCATAATCCACAAAACGTAATTAGAGTCAATGGACAATTATCAATTGAAGAAATGTTTCAAAGAATTAGCATAAAATTAAGATTTCTCCCACTGCCCACAGTTTTAGTGCCAGTAAAATTAATTAATTCTGTTGCAATTACAGAAAATGAAAATTCAAAAGAAGAAGAAGAAACTTCAGACGAAGAATTTTCGGAAAAAAGAATATTAGAAGAAGAAAATTCAATAGAAAACATTTCCCATTATCTATCGTGGGGAAATTATGAAGGAAAAACAAAAAAAGAAATTTTTGAAATATTATTCAATAAAGAGACGATTTCTTCAGAATTTCGATGGAAATTATCCGATTGGAAATTTTATTGTCCCGTTGAACTTGCCAAAGGTCGACGAATCGAGGGAAATTTAAATAATGCTCTTCAATTTATGAATTGTATTTATTTTTTATCATCGCTGGAAGCCGAAAATTCTTTTATCGAAAATCCTCGTCCTTATCTTTTGCCACCAAATCCAATGCCCAGTTGTAAAATTGCAATAATTGGTCCTCGATATTCAGGAAAAAGTGAACTATGCAAAAAATTATCAATTCATTTAGGAGGAACTATTATTGATATTCAACAGATAGCGAATGAAATTAACGAAAATGAAGAAGAGATGAAAATTTCTCCCCAAAATAAAGTTAAAATAATTTCTCAACTAATTGAAACGGTTCCATCGATTTTCATTGGGGAAATTTGCCGAGATGGTGGCTGGATTCTTGACAATATGAATTTGGATTTGGAAATTTGGAAAATTCTCCTTGAATCTCACATTAAAATCGATGACATTATCGTTTTACTCGAAGATGCACCTTATGAAAATTTAATTCAAAATTGGAATAAATTTCATGACGACGTAGAAGATGAGGATAATGAGATTAATCAACAAATTTCATACGATTTATCGGAATACATAGAAGAGATTAAAAAATTCGAAAATGATTTCCACAATTTTCGTAATAAATTAAAAGAATATGGAAAAGAAATTCTTGTTTGTAATTTAAATGAAATTGATCCATTTGAATTTGTTTCGGAATATTTTTACAAAGAATTCCATCCTATTGCGAATAAAATCACTGAGATGGAAATGAAGATTGAAAACAAAATTTTTGACAGTTTTGATAATTTTGAAAATGAAGAAGAACCTGCAAAACATACAAAAAAGAATAATAATTATCATTTAGGAGACACTGATATTTATTGTCCAGTGGCTCTTAAACGAAATGGAGTTTTATGGAAAGGTCAAGAAAATTTATCATCCTTTTTAGCAAATAAAATTTATTTTCTTTCATCTAAGAACGCTTTGGAAGATTTCTTGAGAAATTCTCAAGAATTTTTTCTCCCTTTAATGAAACCATTTGAAAAGATTCCTCCAGCGAGAATTTGTATCGTCGGTGTTCCAGGAAGTGGAAAAAGCACAATGGCAAAGACAATTGCCAAAGAATATGGTTTGGCTTACATTGATTATTTCAGTAAAATTGATGACTTTATGCAACAATTAGGATTCAATATGATCAGCTGGGAAGAAGATAATTCAGATATGAAAAATAATCAATATTCAGAAAAATCAAATGAAGATGGAGAAACGTCTAGAGAAGATATAATATCCAGTGAAGATGAAAACACTTTTGAAGATTTAGAAACCGATCATCAGGAAATTTTATCAAATGATCCAGAGAGTCTAACTGATAAAAATCCATTTGTATTTGACAAAAATACCACGGAATCCATAGCCAGAAATTATCGGAAACATGGTGGAAATCTTACTGAAATAATAATACGAGAATCCTTTTTGAAATATTTCAAACCTCCTTTCGATGAATGCGGTGTAATTTTTGACTCATTTCCAAATTGCACGGAAGATGTCGAATTAATGTTAAAAGAATATTCTGTACCGGAAATAATAATTGAACTTCAATGTAATTTAAAACTGTCACTAGAGAGACTTCTTCCAGTTTTGTTAGATGCCTGGAAAGTGAAAGAAAATCAGAAAAAGCTGAAAGAACAAGAAAAATTTAACAAAGAAATGGAGTTGTATAATAAAAGAAAAGAAAAATGGATCAACGAGAAATTGAAGGAAATTAAAGAAAACGACAGAAAGAAAAAAGAAGAAATCGATGAATTCGAAAATGATATTTCGATTACAACTTTGAAAAATTCATATCAAGATTCATCAAATCTTATTGATAATTTAGATCCTTTAGATGAATTAGAACAATTATATTATGAAAAAAATTTTAAACCAAAACTATTTTCTAATTGGGAAACAGAGAATTCTGCTAGAAAGCGATTAATTAAAAGAATCAAAGAATCATTCCAAAATTATCAGAAAAATTTGAAAAAAATTCGCGAACGAATAAAAAAAGAATCATCATCGATATCATGGATTGAAATTAATTCACAACAATCTATTGAAAAATTATTTTGTCTATTTTTAAAAATTCTCAATCCTTATCTTCATAGAAATGCATCATTTTTCGAACATACCTATTTAATCACAAGAACAATTGCCGAGAAACTTATAGAATGTGGTTATTATTTTCTTAGTTCATTTAATCGTTTCTGTCCAGTTCAAATGTTTAACAAAAAAGTACCATTACAAATATTTTCATCGCCAGATGAAATTTTTCCATTAATACATCGACAATATATTTATTTTCTTCATGGAAAAAATTCTCTTGAATTATTTAGAAATGATCCACTGAAATATTTAAATCAGGATTCATGCTCGCCTTTAATTTTCGTTCAAATTTCTATAATTGGTCCGCCAAATTGTGGAAAATCAACACTTGCTCAACAATTTGCAACAACTTATGGATTTAAAATTATAACACGAGGTGAATCATTGCGAGACATTTTGGAAAAATCAGAAAATTCTTTAATAAATGAACAGCAAATAGCTCAGGCTACGGTAATTTCTTCACTTGATTCAAAATCATCTTTGGGAATTATTTTTGATGGTTATCCGGAGAGTCAATTGGAAGTTGAAGAATTGGCTCTTCTTTCAATTAAACCAATGATTGTTTTTGATTTACAAGCTGATTTTGACTATTGTCAAAAATGTTTCACTATCGAGGAAATGAAAAATGTGGAATTTTTCAAAAATCGTTATGAAAATTGGAGGAATGGAGAAAAAGAATTTCGCAATTGGCTCACAAGCTATTCGGCAAATATAGTAAAGGTGGATGCAAAAAAATGTAAATTAGATATTTGGATCGCAGCAAATGAGGAATTTTGTTCACGAATTATCGCAATTAAAAAATATTTCCGTGAAGCTGATTATGATAAAGTTCATCATCTCGAACATTTATGTATCACGCCTTATGAATTTAAAAATCGAATAAGTTCTTATCAAACTTTTTGTCCAGTTTGCATTCAACGAGATCAATTTCTTTCATCTCAATCACTGGAGCGACAAGGACTTTTTCAATTTCGAGCTCATTTTTATTGGATTTGTTCAAAACACATAGATTCATTTATCAAGAATCCAATAGATAATTTAATGAAAAAAATGCCACGTGATTATCCAAAAATTTTGCAAAATACAATTGATATTGAAAATGTTTGTAGGACAAAAAAATTGTCAGAATTTTGCATTGTCACTTATGTCGATAATCTCCCTTATCGTAGAATTATACCCGGAAAACAGGAATTTGGAATTGTTTACAAAAAACGTTTATATCTTTTTTGTAGTCTCAATTGTAGAAATAAATTCATGGAAAATTGTTCAATGTATAGTGAAGTGGAAATTTATTTTCCAAAAATATTACCTTTACAAATGAAAAATTTACCAAATTTAGGATTTCTCGAACAGAATGTTGCTTCGTTGATTGTAAAATGTATTCGTTATGTTGGAGCAATACGACCAAAATTACCTGGTCTTTCAGCATCCGCTTCGGCGGCTATTTATTTTGGTGTCTATTTGAAAATACAAAATTTAAAAAGCGATAAGAATCATGTGGATATTTATAAAAATATATTGAAACGAATGAATGAAAGAAGGGAATATTTTCAAAATGTCCTTCAAAAATTGAAAAAAATGGATAATCCTTATTTAAATCGAAAATTGGAAAAAGGGGAAATTTGCCGGAAAGAAGACGAGAATTTAGATAAGACGATTGAAAAGATTAGTAAATTGTCACGACATAGTGTATCTGTTAAATTTAAACGAACTTCACCTACTCAAATATTTAGAAATCAGGACGATAATTCGACAAATTCGACGTAATTTTGTAATTATTTTTGAAAATTTTAATTTTTAATAAAATGATACATTTTTATAATGTAAAATAGAAAGGAAAGAAATTTTTTTTTTTTTTTTTTCCTATAATGATGGACAAATTTGTCTAATCGATTATTTTTTTCTGTTCAAGCACGTCGAGTACCTGTACCGGACACGAGGTATGACTACCTGTGTGAATACTTCAAGCCAGCTAGGTAAGCATTAGTTTTTTGAAATCGAAAATATTGAAGAGAGAATAGTGGAAATGCGAATGCTTTGAGAATACGTTATATGGCGAATACGCGGTAAACCCTAACGAGGGAAACGGAACGGAATAACTGGCGACATTTCCATACGTCTTCGCCTTTATTCCAACTGTGGAGTTCTGAAGGGGTATGAGGCACGTACCCCAGGGCACGTGATCTGCAATGCAGATCAGTTTTGCACTCGCCTCTCTCTCTCTTACTCTCTTTCTCTGAAATATACTGACACACCAAACACTGACAGGCTCCGTAAATTTTGCTTTTATAGGGTATATACCCACCTTCCCAAAAGTCCGCGCACACAGTAGATGCGAACTTTTCTCTCTCTATGGTTCTTATATATAGGATGATGCTCGTGAAAATTTTCCTTCGCTCGCAGATTCTAGTTCAATTTGCATTTTGGTCTCTCCAAGATGTCTCTCGGCACCGCCTTGAGTCCATTTTGCAATTCCTATAGTGTATTTCGTTAAATTCTCTATTTTCTTAAAAAAAAAAAAAATTAGATTCAAATCTATTTTTTATGTTCACAGTTGAACCTTGATAAATGAGACACAGAGGTGTAGAATTTATTAGAGAGGAATTTTATTTAAAAGTAATTATCCAAAATTTCCAAAAAGGAAAATTAATTAAATAGAATTAAATCCAGTTCGTAAAGTTTGATTCTTTTTTTTTTTGAACTTTAATTAAAGTTATTTTCTACTAAGATGTAAATTTGATGATTTAATAGTGAGCGTAATTCGCACAATGATTGAAATGCAAAGCAAGAGGGATCATTTTGGATCAAAGAGGAGAAATTTAGCTTTATATTGTTCACATTCTCTTGCTCTCTCTCTCTCTCTTTGGAGCAAGCACATTAACCAACTCCTGCCTCATCGTATGGCACGTGACAATATACGGGACAGTCTTTGATGAGACGCGCCGACTGACACGTTTGTGAATTGTGCTCATCTTCACACTTCTCACCCTCATCGACACACAACAAAGGCTAATTGTTCAATGAGAATTATATTAGCATTTTAATAGCAATCGTTACTCTCATCAAGAGTGTCACACTTTTCTTCTTTATTGTCATTTCTGACCTTTTACTTCCGTCTCACTTGCCACCGAAATTCTGGAATAAAATCCTATTTTTCAATTTTGAAAACTACTAATTAATTTTTTTTTTTAAATAAACCTTGCTTATGTTTTTTAATTAATAATATTAGAAAGTGATTGTATTTTTAAAAATTGAAAAATTATATTAATTAATTTGTTTTCAGCAAAGTGCCTGCATTTTTGAATGTCGTTGATATCGCTGGATTAGTAAAAGGCGCAGCTGAAGGACAGGGTTTAGGAAACGCTTTTCTCTCGCATATTAACGCCTGCGATGCGATCTTTCATCTTTGTCGTGAGTATTTTTTTTTTCATTAAAATCCTACAATATTGAGTATCATTTTTTTAAAATTCATTTAATATTTAATCGTAACGAGGAAAAATGTTTAATTTGTTAAAAATTGAATTATTTACTAAATTTTAAGAATTGGAAAATTTTTTTTCGTAGGAAAGCAGTGAGGTAAATAAAATGGGGAAAAATTTGAAAATTAAAATTCGAAGTCACTCTAATTTTGAAAATAATTGAAACAAATGAAAGTGATTAAAGAAATCATTGCAAAGAGCAGTTTTTTTTGTTTTTTAATTATCATTGCTTCTGCATTGAAATACCGCACCGATGCCTATTAGCGACCAATAAAAGTAATGCACTAGTCACAAAAGAGCGGCACTAGTTACTTTGACTGAAAGTATATATATGTATACGCGTATGGAATATTGATAATGACAGGAACCTTTTGCTCATCGTCTCACTTGCCGTTAAATTGCGAATACGACTTTAGGATGATTATTTGCTGACTCGAAGTAAAACCCCGCAATGAGAGTGGGTAGGCGAGCACTTGTAACTGGTCCCTTACTATATACTTAAAGACTTATAAATACAATGCTAACCATTAAGAATATCTCTTTCGACGCATCCACTTATCGTTTATTATTATTTAAATGATGCCTGGTGTATAACAGATTGTCGGCAATAATAATGGATCTCTCATGGTACTCGATAATTTCAATGTAATTCATATACTTCTCATATATTGTAGAACGACTGCTGTGTCTCTTCCTCATTCATGGGGCAACACCTATAAACAGAGCAAACGTGGAAATTATTTTTTTTTTTTTTGTGTTTGTGTCAATAATAGAGTTGTTACACGAGAGGAGAATTTCTTGTTGAAATTCAATCTAGTTTGCTTTCTTGTCTATTTGTTTTGCATTATTCTATTAGATGTTGAAAAGAATTTTTTTTTTTCACTAATTTGCGAAAAATTCAAATTGTACAATTTTTTCGATTTTTACATCTATTGAAAATAAAAAATTCCGTTAAATTTTGATTCAAAAGAGAAAAAAAATCTAATTTACCGATACTAAAGAAGTTATTTATTTATAATGAATTTTCATAGACATTTATCTGAAATGAGCATTTCAATAAAATTTCAGTTAGCTTCCGACAACATAGCTCATAAAATATGAAGAGAAACTGGCTCGTGGGCAAAAATCGTGCGTGATTCGCGGCAGTACAGTTTGAAAAGGTTCGCGGCAAACGGAAACTAAAAATGCCTTGTTATCTTTTTTTTTTTATTTTTCTTTTTTTTTTATTATTACAATAATTATTTATCGACTTCTCTGCGCTCGGACCAAAAGTCTATTGATACTTTAGGATATATATTGGCGTGTTTCTTGTCGATATACAAGTAATGCTCGATGTTAGAAATAATTTAAGAGCATCAGGATCATTTATTTCGTTATGTGATGATCGAAGTTATATGTATGATGAACGTATACAAAAAAAAAAAAAAAAAAATATATAAGAACTTGAGTACTAGATTTTGCTTTAGATAACATTCCAAGTAGTTGCGACGTTTAACGGCATCGCATCATGGCAGGTGGTAATTTCTGTAATTAAACCGACCTGTAATTTTCGCGCTGAAGGCACCGCTCTCTTAAATAATGGACAAGAAACATTTCTTGCGGTTATATTGCCAAGTGCTTCTACATTTCTTTTCTTTATTTATTTATTATTTTTTTTTTTCGAAAAAAAAGAAGAAAGCGGAAAACTGGAATTTACTATTTTCTCTTACACTTTCCATGTGGTGAGATCATTCACAAATCACCCGGAAGTGATAATTTCCTTTTTTAAAAAAAAATTCTTAACAAGTTTTTAAAGAGAGAGAAAAAACAATTATTGATTTTTGAAAATTGTTTAAAATGAATATTTGAAATTCAGAGTAAAATTTCAATTATTAATTAAACTAAATTGAAACTTTTGAGTCTTTTTTAAAGTTTAATAATTTTTAGGAGCATTTGAAGATGATGATGTGACACACATAGAAGGAGATGTGAATCCTGTGAGGGATTTGGAAATTATCAGCGACGAGCTGCGATTAAAGGATATTGAATTTCTCAATGGTCACTTGGAGAAATTGGAAAAGCTTGTGGTTCGTGGCAATGATAAAAAACTCAAACCTGAATACGTAAGTCAATTTTTTAATTGCATTTTACTTTGATAATTAATTATTAATAATTATTACAAATTAAATGTATATTAAATTAATAGTGTTTAATAGTAAATTAAATGTATATTAAATTAATAGTGTTTAATATTAAATTAAATGTATTTAAATTTAAAATTCAGTTGAAAAATTGTTATTTAACATGAGATCTTTGAAAATTGAATATAAGAAATAAAATGATAGTCGGATGTAGCAAGTCAGAAGAGTAATAGTTTTAACTCAATAAATAATATGAATTTACTTTAAGTATGCTCATTTTAGTGTTTTGTGGGATGATGATGATGATGATCGCTAAATGCGCGGTGAACGCACATGACCCGTTCACGTTGGTGAACCTTGCGGTAAAATCAAGGATCTCGTGATCAAATACTATTTGCATTGGCCCGAAGTGCATAACGGAGCGACATTTCGATCGATTTTACCAACAAGGCGCGGTTCTACACCCACGCGTAATTGTAAAAACATAGATAGGTATAACCGGTCGTCGAAAACCGATTACATTCAATTCCCTTAACGCTCGTGCTCGAGAGAGAAAAAGACAGAGAGAGAGAGATCCTCTCGTTATTGTAAATGGCCGGATCACCCACTTGGTTTTCTTGGATACAATCTCGAGACATATTGTATAGTGACCGCCCTTGTCCCGATATATCGACAATTTTATAATAATAATGGTAATAAGTGATTTCATTTTTAAAAATTTAAATATACAATATACAAACCAAAAAAAAAAGTTATTTGATGTAAAATATCGATTGTATAATTGTCGGTGAACAAAAAAATCGATGTAGAAAAAAATTAATTTATTTCTTTTTAATGGTTCCTTAAAAAAAATAAGATTGCCAATTGGAAAGAAATAATAATACAAAAAAAAAATTAAGGGTTCCTCACAAAAAAAAGGAGAAACAAATTTTCGTGAATATCAATTGAAAATTTAATTTCGTCCCATTTTTAACGACCTGTTGAAATTACGAAAACGATAACAGTCGCACGTGCATTACATTCAAGGTGTATAGCGCATTTGTTTTTTCTTCTTCTTTTTTTTTTTTTAACCATTTAAAGTGAGGGATCGACATGAACGAAAATTTAACGTGTAAGTGTTCCTTGTCACGAAAAGCAAGTGGTTTTGGTACCAAGCTGCACGCCCGAAAGTAAGTAGAATTCGCACAAATTCACAGTGGGAATATTATTGGTCTCGCGAAATTACTGAAAGAAATTAAGAGTGAGCGCGGGTGGGAAAGAACTCGAATCATTTCCTGGAACAAATCAATCGACAATAGGGATAAACGTCCTTCCGCGGATTGCAATTTTCCAAACAACTCTCTTTTGTTTCTTAGTTAGCAATTTGCGAAAAAGTTTTTGAGACTCTTTGCGATTTTACCCATCTGAGTTGTACTTAAATCTCTTTTTTATTTAATTTACTTTCTTACGTTTTCGCGTAAAACTTGACGTTTCGAGGCAGTTAAATTTACTCAGAATTATATGTATCACAAACTCAATCAGTTACTTTTTTGCTACTTTTTTTTTATTTTACTTTTTTTCTAATTATTATTTACCTGTTTAATATTTTAATGCATTTTTCTTTTACCACATGTCAATGAAACGTGATTCTGATTTTATTTTTGTTACAGGAAACACTTCTTAAAGTTAAAGGGATTCTCGTCGATGATAAGAATCATATTAGATTTGCTGATTGGAGTGCAAACGATGTGAGTTTTACTTTAATTTTTCAAAACAAAATCTTTTACTTTTTATTAGTTATTTAAAAAAAATAATTTTTTAAATAAGATTGTATGAGTTAAAAATATAAATCAAAAAACTATGAAGTTATAATAATTCTTTTAATGCGCTTATAAATTTAGTTACAATGATAAATATTTTTATGGCTATTTTTTTATTTTATTTTTTTGATAGGCATTATTGTTTTTAATAATAATAAATAACGTTAAACAGAAAATTTTATTATTGGAAATTGTAAAATATTAAGGTTAGTACATTTCTGGGAATGAATTGCAATTAAATCTTCTTGTGAAATGCCGAAGTGACTGTCGATTTAAAAGACTGATTTATAGATTTCAAAAAAAAAAATTCTACGTTAAGCGCAGATTTTGTTTCTTCTTTTATACAATTTGTTTCAGAATTTTTCTCTCCTTCAAATAACAAGAATCACTTTCAATTTTTTTATTTTTAATAATTTGTCTAAATTGAAAAAATAGAATGCGAATTTAATTACATTATTACTGTTTTGTTTTTATTTCTTTATTATTAATTCCTTTTTTTTTATAATTTCAAGTAACTTTCTTAAAATATTCTTGTAGATCGAGGTACTCAATAAATACCTTTTCCTGACGTCAAAGCCGGTAATTTATCTGGTTAACCTTTCGGAAAAAGATTACATTCGAAAAAAGAATAAATGGTAAGTTGATAAATTTAATAAAATTTATCCAGTTTATTAGCGTTGACTTTTGTCAAAAAGAAAATTATAGAAAATCTACGCAATATTTTTTTTTACTATTAATCGAAAAATTTTACAATCATAATTAAATGATATTAAAAGTTAGAAATACATTTTTTTAATTATCGGGATTTTTTCAGGCTCATCAAGATTAAAGAATGGGTTGATAAAAATGATCCAGGAGCATCTTTAATTCCATTCAGTGGTGCCTTTGAGAATAAAATCATAGATATGGAAGAGGTTGACAAAGCCAAATATTTTGAAGAATCTAAAGTCACCAGGTATAAAATCGACATTGAACTAATATTACTAAAAAAAATATTTTGAATTTATTCTCTAAATTTAACTAATTTATTTAAAATTTGCATTTAAAAATTAAAATTAATTTACTAAATCAATTTGATTATTGAAGAAAAAATTCAGTTATTTCATTAATAGAAAAAAAATTTAATGACAATTTAGTGTATTTTGATTCCACTGGAATTGATTATATCGAATCAAATCATCGTATATTAGAGTTTTTGAAGAAAAAAAAAGAAATTGGTTCCCACAAATTTGTTAGCTATGCTAACAATAATAGAGGGTTCCAAGTTTTCGGTTATCCTCATGTCTAGACGCGTGTACATCCCTCTTTTATAGTTGAGCAACTATAAAAAAAAAAGAAGCGGCCGCGAAACATTATACTTTTTTACGCGTTGGGCTATTCAAATTCTTGTAAAATTGCAGAGAAAACTCCAACGCCCTTATCGGCACAGGGGTATAATCTCTCTCTTTCTCTCTTTCTCTTATACCGTCGCGACTCGGCCAGTGGGTCATCCGTACTCAGGAAGTCTTACATGCTTCATTGTAAAAACGAGAAAAATATAGAGTTTAGGCACTTTAAAAAAAAAAAAACAACAAATTTTACTTTCACCCGCCGGGTCTTTTTAAATTACGTTTTCTAACGAAAAATTTCGATGCAAATCACCAATATTGCGCGAATTTGAAACCCACTATATTTTTTTTTCTCCAAAAAAATGTCTTTAAATTAATACAACTTTTTTGTAAAAACTTTTGTTAGAAATTCAAACTAAAAAAAAAGAGTTTTGGTAAAAGAAACTAAAGGAGATAATTTAAAATGAATGAAGGTCCCTTTTTTCCTAGTTCACTAATTATTAAGTCCTTTGTCGTAATGTGGTCAGATTACGTACACATTATATACGTTTTACGAGCGGTCCCTTGTGAATCCGGGACGACCCTAAAAATGGGACCATTAAAGACACGCCAGAAAGGTGATTGGCGACAAAACGCGAATTCGCAACATGATGAAAACTGGAAATTTTCGGACAAAAATGAACAACACAAACTCTTTTGGGACCATAGAATATGATTGTCTTGGAACCAAAGATCGTCTAATGACAGGGTGAGTTACCAAAAGGAGTCATCCGATTCTCCTTCGTATATATATATATATAGAGAGAGAGAAAGAGAGGCTGAATTTCGAGAGTTCAGAGAATACACATAAAGCGAACGATTTAATACCGCAATTTTATCATTTCACGAGAGACTCGAGAGGTATCCCACTTTGTGCATCCGTTCATCTGCGGTCTCAAAATAAAATCACGGCAGTCCTCTGATTGCTGGTTGACCCTCTTATCCAACCTTTTCACCCACCCCCCTTTTTTTTCACCACTCATTTCTACTTCGTTGTCTCGTGTCTTTTACTAGCAATCAACTTATGTTAAAATCATTTCTATCTCATGCTATGCAATTCAGCTTCGATTTCGATCCTTTCAAAAAGTTACTCGTTTTAGAGCTAAATTAATAGCTATTTTTGTAAATTGTCAAATTAGAGTCCACAATATCTCTATAACTATAATATATTTATAGAATGTCAGATATTTGGATAATTTCATTTCAAACGATTGGTAACAAAAAGGCGCTCTTTAATTATTATTCATAATTTAAAATGTATCACATTCATTTTTGCCGTCTGAGTATTTGAGAATTTTACATTTAATTTAAAAAAATTCATTTAAAAATAAAAACTCATCTTCATTTAATTAAATTCAATTTAATATTAATTGATTTAATTTTTTTTTTTGCAGCGCACTAGATAAAATTATCGTTCAGGGATATAAAGCTCTGCAATTGCAATATTTTTTCACTGCTGGTCATGATGAAGTCAAGGCATGGACAATTCAGGTAAAATAAAAGAAAAAGATTGCAAAAAAAATATAAATTAATAAAAAAATAAAATATATACTTAATATTCCCAACAGAAAGGATTTAAGGCGCCGCAAGCTGCTGGAAGAATTCATACCGATTTTGAAAAAGGTTTTATTATGGCCGAAGTGATGAAATTCGATGACTTTAAAAACGAAGGTTCGGAATCTGGTGTCAAGGTATATATTGTTTTATTTTAAAAACTTATTTTTATCATTAAATTAAATTTATTTTAGAATAGACACACTTTAATTATCTCTTTTATTAAAATTTCCAAAATCATTTTATTTATTGAATAATATTTGTCAAAGGAAATAAAAGAAAATACCCCTTAATTTCTAAAGGATCTCAGATGGATTAAACTAATTAATTTCCAATTGAAACACAGGCAGCTGGAAAGTATCGGCAACAGGGACGAAATTACGTAGTGGAAGACGGTGATATTATCTTTTTCAAATTCAACGCCGGTGCAGGTTTAAAGGATCCGAAGAAAAAGTGATGGCACGTATATTTGGTACCGTTGCTGGTTTATTTGTACATCAATATGATCTTGCTCTCTTGTTGTACTCATCGAAATATCGGCTCATCATCCTAAATCATTTTTTTAATTGACAATCAAAAACATATTATTCAAAGGGAAATATCAATTTTCTTTGTGATGTTTTTGTTTTAATAACTGAATCAATTATTTCTTAATAAAGAAGAAGAATAAAATGAAAAAGAAGAATACGACGACGATGAAGAAAATATCTACACAAATAGTATGAGCATCGCTTTCAGTGAGTGAGTGTATATAAATAATTAACTTTTATGAAAATTTCTTTTTTTTTTTTTAATATTCTATTACAAAGCTTGTAGGCGATAGTTATAGATCATGAATGAGACAGAGAGACAGAGAGAAATGAAGTGAATTGATTTCCATTTTTTTTTTTTTAATGAAGATGGAAATCTAAAATATTTCTATTATTATACTCTTCTGTATTTATTTTACACTGAGTTGAATATAGATTGACTGACTAAATAAACAGAGTTTCGGATTTTAATTCGCTTAAACGAATTTATTTTCGTTCGAATGTTCGCAGCTGTTTTGAATTTGATAAATTTTTACTAATATTTACAATTTTTAAAAAGGAATTATTTTGCAGAATTTTTAGAATTATTTTTTAAAAATTATTTCAGTTTATAATTTAATTGTTTACTGAAAGTAATATTTTAATTTATAATTTAATTATAAATGAAAGTTTAATAATAATTTATAAGTAAAATAGAATTATCAATTACTTTTGAAAGCTGAGACAGAAATTTTTTTAATATTCTGTCGATAATTTAAGAATCATAAAAATAATTTTGTGTTAATTAGGAAATTTAAAAGAAAATATTTAAGAATTAATTATTTATTACAAAATTTTGGATCTACACTTTTGATTCATTAATAAGATAAATTTGGCAAGAATCGGTAAAATTAAACATTGTTGCTTTATTTGTACAATTCAAAATCGTTCGAAGAATGTAATTTCAATTTATGGCACAATTTCATTTATTATTACATACGTAAATTGTTAAAAAAAATTTTAATTAAATATAAATAAGATTTTTTGTGCCTTTAGTCAAAGTTGCTTAAGAATTGTAATTGTAATTAATTTTTATTACTTTTTAATTACTATTCATTAATTTAATTTCTAATTTATTATTTAAATAATTTAAACTATTTTTATTTCATTAAAACAAATATACTTTGGCTTCGCTTTTCTCCTACACAAAATGTGCGCCATGTTTTTTTTTCGATAAATTAAAATAATCGTTTTTGATCCACATTTTTGTAGAAAAACAGTTATTAGTTCATTATTCTTTCAGGAATAATCAAAGTGAATTCCTTGATTTTGCCTTTCAAAAAAATTCTCTCATCCATTAGAAGATGTTTTCTTTAATAGACGTGATTTCAGCCACTCATAAAATTCCACCTCTTTTGCTAATATCTTGCCAAGTCGCTTTTTTACCGTGTTCTTTAATGACGTCGCTTCTGACGAAATATTTTTTGGTCCTGAAAAAGAAAGATAAAAACAATTAAATCTCCATAAATCTATTCTAGAAACAAAATTAATTTTAATTGTTTATCGTTAAATTTTCTAATTAACACATAAAAAATTTAATTAAAAAATTTTTTTTCAAGTCAAATTTTATTTTTGTTTCTTTATTTTTCTCTAGAGGAAAAACAGAAATTTTTTTGATGATTATTCTTACTCAAGTTTTTGTAGACTAGTTTAGCACCCTCAAAAAATTGTGGGAAAGATGATTCTAGAACTTGTAATGTTTCATCCATAAGATCCAAGATGCCAATAACAGGATACCATCTTATTGCATTGGCCTTGGCACGTTCTAGAGCCCATTTGCTATTTCTTTGACTGAAAAAAAAATCGACAATCATAAATCATATAATACGTAATAATAAAACAAGAATCAATAATTGACTTATAATTAAAAACGAATAAACACATATAAATAAAAAAAAAATATATATATGAAAAATAGGAATAATTTAACAGAATACCATCAAGGATTTTTATAATCTCTTTTGAAGCTATATTTTATTTAATCACAATTTTTTTCAATTGATTTTGAATTTAATCTTCCTTGAAAGGAAGACAAATTTTATTTATTGATAGAAAATTTAATTACCACGTTAATATGATAAATTATGGCTATTAATAATTATCATTTCGATTATATAAAAGAATTGTCGAGAATCAATAATTATATAGCTCTTTAATGACGTACGGGACATAATGTTATGGTATTTAATTTTTATTTAGAATATAAATATTAGCTTGAATATTAATAATAGTAGTTGTAATTTTTTTTTTTGAAATTAATAGTCTATAATTATTACAATTAATGACACCTTCTATTAATAGTATTTGTTTCCGTAATTAATCCCTTTTGTACTTTAAAATAACAGTAGATTCAAACGATAATAGCTTGGATTTCTAATTAAATTAAATGTTGCTTTAATTAATAATAGTTTCAATTAATGGTTGTTTTATTCTTTAAAGAATCTAAATATCTACAAACATGTACATCGACATTTTATAAAATAGATAAAAAAAAAAAAAAAATTCTCAGACACGCGGTATATATGGTAAATCATTTTCGGAGAATGTGTGTACATTACACAATTCAAGATACTTTCTTTGCCTGCTCACGTTCACTTGAGTCCAAGAATGGATCGTTGATCTTGATTCTCACTATATGCGGTTAATCTGTGTCGTAACAAAGTCACGTAAAAAAAAAAAAAATCCCACAGTTTTTTGCCCTCAAGACATAAATATATTCACATATGATTAATCAATGGAAATTTTAATATTATTATTGTTTTCGCCTTTTATTATAAAAAGAAAAATCACTTTTGCATATTTTGGCACACTCAATAATTTTTGTTCAGGAAATTGAGATCCTTGCCATTCCGCTATTCTAATGATATTCAAATGAGTCAATCGTAGACTATCATAACTTCACAGTCAATGATTCATTGACCTTTGAAAAATTTCCAGTTCTTGAATATATTATCTAACATTGAGGATTATTGACTTTTGACGAGGCATTGAACCGAAAGTAGGCAATTTTAATAATTAAATTAAATTGCAAATATGATATTTGATTAATATAGTAAAAATTGCAACTTACGTGCAACGAATATCTTGACCACAAAAATGCGCCACTGATCCACTGTATATCATTGATGAATCTCCGTTTCTAAATCTGTAAATATAATAAATTAGTAATTAAATTTATTAATATTTTAAAATTATTTACTTCTACTGTTAGTAGGAGATTTAATTATTGAATAAAAATTTTTTTCTACCTATCTAATGTTCTGGGATCCAATGGATCTCTGACTAAAGAAATAAAAGTTGGTGCCTGTCTGTCGAATGATGAAAAATTCAAAAAACGAACATCACCATCAAAACTCAATGGAACAGCTTCCTGCTTGATGATACTTGTTATTTCTTCAACAAGTAATTCCTGTAAAAAAAGAAAAAAAATTCATGAATTGCTGGATTAAAATTTAATATCGTAACAACCATTAATTGAAGCTAAAAATGTTAAAATAACCGTCAATTAAAAATAAAACTAAAATAAAGTATGTTTTAATTTGATGATTTCAAAAATTTGTAATTAAAAGTACAACTAAATTCTCGAATTTTTTTTTTTATTTTCTAATTTAATGGATTTTGAAATAATACAAAGAGTGAGAATTAATTGCAAATAGATTGCATGAATGCCTTTTATATATATATAAAGTCTTCGTCGTGATCGATAAAGATTTTTCATGAGAGAATCTTCATCGAAATGTCAGATCGGACACGACGAGGACGAGACCTTTCAAGCTTTAATAACTGGCATGTCTAGGAAACCTTTCTAAATTAAATACATAACGATTAAATGTGAACTAGATTTCTCTTATATATATTATATTTTATTCTCCCTATATATGTAAATATTAATCATAGTCCACTTTATTCATATTAAATATAAATTCGAAATATTTATTAGAAATCACAATTCAGGACATTGTATAAATAAAAAAAAAAAAAAAGTTGCAATTTTTCCACTAATAGAAAAATTAAATGCAACTTTGATTTATTATTTTATATTTTAAACGTAAAATTAGCGTTGCTTCACTAAGTATGAAATTCAATTGGAAAACATTGTAGAAAGTATTTTCTTGCCATTTCAATGAGTACATAAAAGTTTACAGATTTTGTTTAATTACCCATAGAATATTGTCGACAATGGATTTATTGATTGAAAATTTTTTTTTTTTCTTGCAATAATTATCTTATGACAAAAAAAAATGTTTAACTTTTATATAAAGAAATATTAGTTTTTCTTTTTTTTGTCCTTAAAACTAAATTGTAACACTCCAAACTAGATTCCTCCATAAAAGTGTAGATAGTAACGACCAACCGGATTATTCAATCGTAACTATAAATGTCAAACCATTTTCTTTTTTAACAAACTACATAGAATTTTTCCAAAAAAAATTTATAGTTTTACAATTTTATTTTTTTTCTGAAAAATTATAGTTTATTAGTTTTTTTTTTTTTAAATTGAAAAATCAATATGGAAATTGAATTTTAAGATAAATTAAAATTAAAGAATTATCAATTTGTAAAATTGACAAAAACTTGTAAATTGCTTGGAAAAATAAAATTACTGATTGATTGCAAAATTGCATTGCATTGCAACAGTTCAATAACTTGCTCCATGAATAATGAGCTTCGTGAAAGTTTCGTAACTCGAAGCGCGCGCTAAATTAATGGAGTAACTTTTGATTAGTATTTATAATTTAATTATAAATTTGATTTGATTAAACTAAATTTATATCATCAACCTGAGAATTAAAACAATATCACGAGATCCTTTGTAATTTTATTAATTCGTTTTCTTTTACAAATTCAATATAATAAATCTAATTTTATTATTTTTTAAAACTTATTTTAATTAATTTTCGAATTTTTTTCCCCTTTTTTTAATGTAGAATATTTAGTTCTATCGAAATTTAATTTTAATTGATATGTTAATGTTTTTTTCAGATAAATGAGTTTTTTTTAAGTTATAATAATAACTGACTTATTTTTCCATATTTAATTCTTAAGAATAATAATAATAATTTTGTGCAATAAGGTTTTAACTTTCTAGAAATATTTTCCAGTTTACCTGTTGTAAATTGGTAAGAATTCCATCGTCACCTGGAGGCAAACGAATATGTTTGAATGCATTATATCCTTGAAGGCGTTGCAAAATGAGAACCAATAACTCGGATCCAGCGCCAGGAATTCGTGTCACCATCAGTACATGGTCATTCATTTCCGGTAAAGTCCCTCGCCCACCTAATTCTGCAAGTGATGGTGTAACGTGCTTTTGTGTCTAAAATAAATAATTTTTTTTTAAAATAAATTATTATTCACTCAATTATATAAAATAATAGACGAAATTAATTTATCGTTTAGAGAATGAGAAATTTTTTTTGAAAAAAAAAAATAAGAGAATTTCTTATAAAAATTTAATTTAAATTTAAAATTTGACAATTCTTTTAAAAAGATATAAGAGAATTTTTTAATTGACGCAATGCAAATGAAGTACGTTATTTACACAAGTGCAATTAGCATAACAATTTTAATTAGCATTTATTATACAAATTGACTCTCATTAATTAGAATGTACGAATGGGGTGAGCCAAATTTTTTTTTTTTTCAAGACTCAAATCATAAGTGTCAAATAATGAGCTTCTTGGTGACACAAGTGGTTTACACTAAGAATATTATAAACTCTTGTGTATATAATTGCCAAGTGTATCGTTGAGAAATTTCTCTCTGGATTCACATGAACGTTACATGAGAGCTGCGCAATTTCATACGAATCTCACGTTGGAAAAGCGCTTTCTCCATGTAATGATGCTCGCATTTTCTTTCTATTTAGAACGAAAATCAGTTTTGCATTCTAAAGATTTGGTTTTTTGAATTTTTTTTTAAGCTCTCTTTTTATTTATTCGTTTCTTATTTTTTTTTTTAATTCCAAGAAAATTAATTTTTTTTTAAATTAAATTTTCAATAAAAAAATAATTAATAAATAAAGTAAAAAATTATTTGACAATGAATTAAATAAATATTTTTTAAAAATATTGATTTAAATAAAAAATATTTATTTTATTATTGAAAACTATCAAATTTTATTTTCTAGTTAATTTTTATTTTAAAAATTTCTTTTGTATTTTCGTTTCATTAAAATATATTTTTATTCTATTAACTGACCTGCTTATTTTTAGCAATTTGTTCTTTGGGTTGATTTGCATAAACATCAATTGTATTCGTCGATGTGTCCTTGGATTCCTTATCAAAAAGATCCTGATCATCAGTGAGAGATCGAGTACTGAAGACAATGAATGCAACTGTAAGACAACCAATCAACCCGGTGAGAACTCCTCGAAATCGACGCATCGTATCTTCGTCATTCGTTTATTATTAATTAATTATTTTTATTATAAACGATAGTTTTTTATTTTCTTTTTTTTTGTTTAAATAATATTTATTTATTTCCCTTGAAAATTTTCAAGCTCACACAAACACAGAATTAGCGACAATTTTGATTATCGACGTTCACTGCATGACTGAAACTGAAGAGAATGTCAGTGGGTCAGAGACTTCGGACTCCCTTGGTTCCCCACATCTTTTGCACATGTTATACCTCCCACCAAACGGCGCTCTTGAATTCCAAAGGACACGACTTTTCAATTTTTCGCAAAAAAAAAAAGAATTCTTCATTTACAGTTTTTTTTTTTTTCAAATTCAGGTAAATCCTTTTTTTTCTATTTCAATAATTTTGAAAAAATTATTACATTTTTGTACCTCATTCTTAATTAACAAATTAGAATTCATAAATTAATCATTTATAGTTAAAGATAAATTATTTATTTAAAAAATATATAATAATCGCAATATTAATTCAAATCGAAAAATTTATTTCAATTAAATAATTTTCCATCAATCGAACAGCTTATTAATTAATTTCATTAAATTTTTCCATAATGAAAAGGAATGTTTGACAATTAATTAATTATCTAGAAAGAAATGTAATTATTAAATTATAAGTCTGTTAATTAAATCTTGAAATTCCATTAAATAATTTTAATGGAATCCTGACACTTGTTGCAAATATTTCAATGGTTTTTTTAAAAGCATATAGTAAAGTGATATTTACAAGGATTGTAAAACTTGCTTGAAAATTAATTGCTTATGGAAGTTTGAAAAAAAAGTGACAAGTGTCTGAAAAGATGAAAACGTGAAAGTGTTTTTACTTGACTCAGACGTTAAGCAAACTGGACTGGAGAGTATAATTGTGAAAGTAGTTCTTAACTTCTCCATTATTCACGAATTATATTGCTCAGTCTTTCGACAATAATAAACTGTTGGCATTTTTCTTTTATGATGCAACAATTTTTTTCTATCTTTTTTAAAAAAAGAATTAATTTATATATCATTTATTACTATTATTTTATTTTTATTATTATTATTACTATTATCATTATTAATTATCTTAAATATATAGAATCGATATCAATTAATTTAGACTGAACGTTACAATTTTTAAATATTTGAAATTAAGGCGCCATTTTTCCGAATTTTTCATTTTTTGAAAATTTAAAATTCCAACCTTTAAATTATAATATAATTGTATTTTAAAATAATTTTAAAACAAAGAATTGTTATTAAAAAGAATACCAGTCAAGTATTTTTTTCGCTTTTTCATAAAAGAAAATCTATTTTTTGTTTATATTCAGGAAAATTCAAATTTGAATTTAGTTCACTATTTGTCCGCGCACAACCGGCCGGCCGGCGCAGAAAAAGCGGCGCAGTTGATCCACGTGGTAGTTCGAGATTATTCTATATATAGAATTTTATTTGTAAACAAGTATTAGTTTCTATAACACAAGTGCCGAAAAATGGACGCGTATGATCAAAGAACGAGAGATTGGGAAGATTTGGAGGTAACAAAAAGTGAATTGAAAGATTTAACAGAATGTTTAAAGAAAGAAGAATTTCGTAAAATGTTAATTGAATATGCTGAAGAAGTGAATGATCCGGAAAATAAGAAACTTTATCAAAATGAAATCACTGAATTAGAGAGACAACGGGGCGTCGACGTTACGTTCGTTAACCCTGAGCCGGGTTACGTCATAAAAACTAGTGTAAACGGTGATAAAAAGTGTTTTTTGAATATTAGCCAAAATAAAATTGTCAATAAACCGAGTAGTCAACCATCGGAGAATGATGGTAATCGAGGATTACAATGGTCCATTCCCTATACGCTTGCACCACCTAGAGACGACCTGGATAAAAAAAATACTCGATGCACAGTATTTGATGTTGTTTTTCATCCTGATACACTTTATCTAGCGTCGAAAAATTTGAGATTCAAGGAACTTGTCAATAATTCTGCAATGGATGGAGTCGAGAATAATTTTAAGGTATATACTATAGGGACACGTCATTCGATAACATAACCTCAAAACTCAGCTGTCATTTTTTAAAAAGCCTCTTATGTTTTTTTTTCTTTCTTTTTCTCTATAATAAAAATAAGAATGTGAGACATTAAATGCACATTACATAGGAATTTCTATCTTGAATGCATTTTTCCTTTTATATAAAAAGAAAAAAATGTTTTAAAGTAGTGCTTCTATATATTGATTATTAATTTATCTAGTGTTATGATCGGTTGAAAATTAGTGTCAGAGTCACTATTTTTTTTTAATGAAGTTTCTATAAGATAAGCAAGTAAAAATACATGATAAGCACTTTTTATGAAATATTTTTATTATTGTAAATTTCAGTTTCGTGATTGATTATCTGTATATGTTTATAAATAATTTGCATTTGTTTAATTAACAATTTTTTTAAATTATCTGATACTACAGAAAAAAGTGGAACAAATTATCACAAAGTGGATTAATTTATTTAAGTAATAAGGTGCAGAACTCAATTATTTTCATTTGTTTTATTTAACTGAAGAAAAAAAATTTTTTTTAAATAAAAGATTTAAATTTCAAATACTTTTTTCAGGTGAAACTTGATCGTAAAAATTTGAAATTTCCAAAAATGAATTTCAAAGGTACTTGTGAGGCAACAGTGATTCGTAAAGAATGTGATAAACCAGCTGAGACATCATTGGAAACTGAATCTGAAATTTATCAAAAAATAATATCCGGTTATGATAATTATCGTGAAAAACAAACAAAAAAATTGGAAGAAAAATCACAGCAGCGATCAACTCCAAAAACGATATATTACAAAAATACAGAAAAATCACAAGATACAGATATAAAATATACAATTCCAAAATATACAATAACTTATCAAAGTGATATGGAATTGGAAGAGTATACTTATAGTAAAGATGCAAAAATGTATTCAGCAACACCAAAAAGGTTGATTGTTGTTATTTATTTGCCATTATTAAAATCAGCAAACGATGCAACACTCGATATTCATGAACGTTCATTAACACTAACAAGTGAAAAACCAGCCAAGTATTTATTGGAATTACCACTATCATATTTAGTTGACGGTGATAATGGAAATGCAAAATTCGATACAAAACATAAGAAATTAACTGTGACACTGCCAGTGATTCGTAAAAATTTTTCATTAGGTGATACAAGAGAGGACAGTGGTGTTGACACAGATCATGGAAGTCCCATTAGAGATGCAAATGATGAATCAATTTTTGTTGAAAATTCCGAGTCAAAATCAAATACGCGACCATTAATTGTCGAATTAAATAATGAGAATAATAGTGAAGTGCAAATTAATGATACGGCATTACGGACTAGAGAAAGTGTTGAGATGACATCGTTTATGAATCCAAATATCAAATATAATATTCCAATGTTCACATGTAATACGTATGATAATATTCTCGCGATTACTATTCACGTGAAGAATGTTGATTCAGAATCAATTTTTCATAAGGTGCTTGATAATATGTTGGGAATTCATGTTTTATTAACATCCGTTGGGGCGGGTTTCTTTCCGGTTTATTATTCCATTTGTTTTAAGCTTGACAACAATTCAGTTGATTCAGATTCAATTACCATTGAGCCTTGGGATAATAATGTTATCATTACACTTGCCTTGAGAAGTACAGAATTAACCAGGTACTTTGTTGGTCTTGATGAAGAATTTATGGAAGCAAAAGAATTTTCATCGGCTATTTCTGTTAAGAGCAAACTAAAGGAACTTGTGGTAATTATTTATTTGAAAATTAATTTTTTATTTTTGAATTAAATAAAATTTATTTCTCACAGGAAGAGCCAGAGGAGGAGACGGATAAGAATATTGATGTTATAAGAAATGGTGAGGAGGTGGTTGTGAGTATTCACAATTCGAATTCAATCGATTCTGACGAGGAGGAGGAGGATCGAGAGACTGATAATTCATCATCAGTTCATCATGAGGAACGTAAACGCAATTTGGAATTAACGAGATCTATTTCCGAGAGTAGTGGTGATGAATTGCCGAGTAGTAATGGCAGTTATAGATCGAAAGGAATTTTGAAATCGCACAGAAATCAATTTTCACGTTCTGTATCGGAATCGAGTATTGACGAGAGCGTCGGTCTTGCATCGTCTGTCAATTTACAATACGACTCGGTTCAGGAATTGAACTCGGAATCAGAAAGTTCCAGTTTGAAGAAAACTGTCAGATTCAATGATGTTGTTTCACGTCAATTATATAGGTAATTTATTTTAAATTAAAAAATGGATTAAAAAAAAAATGTCGCAAATATTCACCTAATTTTCATTTATCCTTTTTTTTCCTATTTTGTTTTATTGATATTTTTATTGTTCGACTTTTTTCAGTTTCAGTAATTTTAATTTCAAGACAAAAATAGTGAATTTTAATTTTTTTTAAAAATTACTTCCAGGTCAAATTCCAGTATTTTAGGTCAACGAAAGAAAAATCAACGGAAATTGAGAAACAAGAAACGAGCGCACGATCGTCGAATGAGTGAGAGTGAAAATTCAGAAACCGAGGAACGTGATAAGTATAAAATAGAATTGAAATGCGAATCACAATCAAATCAGTCGGATGCTGTGAGGCCAATTCTCAGTAAAAATGGGGAAAATCAAAAAACCGATAATATTGAAATTGAAATTTCGCGTAATAATAATAGTAATAGTACAAATCAATTGCATAAACGAAAAACAAACAAAAAGAGAAATGAAATTTTAATGAATGATGATAAAGAGACTGAGAGTGGCGACGAAGTCCACGTGGAATTAAAAAACGATCTGATTTTCGATCTTGATATGTAGAAAAAAACGTATCCTCCCCCCCCCCCCCACGGTATCTTATATGTGATAGATTTTCTAGTTTTTATTAATGAAAAAAAATTCGATGCCTTACGCTCGATTTGCAGTTCATTTATATATCATGCATAATCCAGTTAGAAATGGATCTTATTTTATTGGGTCAAGAAAATAAGAGGGTGAGAGATAGTGCGAACAAAAAAAAAAAAAAAAAAATATTGCGAAAAGTTTTCTTTTTTGAAAAGAGTCCTTTAACGTTCGACAGCTTTGATAGTCACTCGTAATCGTTATATTAATAGAAAATTAAGTTTGCATGATAATTTACCTTTATATATATATACATTAGAGAGTCGAAAAGAAAATAATTGCATGCATTTTTAATTTAGCTTTATTTAAGGCAGTTTTCCAACGACAGTCTTTAATGAAAATTAATATTGAATTAAATTCAGAGAAACTAAATTTTTCTTTTCGATAAAATAATTTTTTAATTTAATATTTATAAAATTATTTTAATGAATTTTTCTTTTTAAATTAATAATGAAAAACAGATAACCTGGATGAAATTGTTAGTTTATTTTTTTTTTTCAAAGAGACTGTCGCACAGGCGAATCAAAAAAAAAAAGTGAAAATTGTTTTCATTTTCCAATAATTTTCGAAATCGAAGGTTAATGGTTACACTTTATTTGCTTGATATAATTTTTCTTCTTCTCACCTCAGCACACAATCTCTTTAATGATAATTATTAATATTATTTGTAATATTTATTTTACTAATAGACATTATTTGACCAATACAAATAATTACATTAGGAAAATAAATATTGAAAATAATAATAATTTTCATTAATAATAATAATATCATTAAATGATAATAGGGTCGAATTGTACGTACATTGAGTGTACACATCGTAAAGGCATTTTTTATAGACTGAAAAGTTATTTTATAATATTCTTGGAAATAAAAATATTTGTATAAGGTGCGATTGCCAAGAAAAAAAATTTCTTTTTTAAAAAAAAAAAGTGCCGACGATATAATTCAAAAATCTAAAATTGAAATTCGTCTACTTCCAAGACTGCACTTTTTATTGTCTGTTTTTGCAAAAACAAAAAAAAAAAAAAGAAACAATTTTTATAGATTGTTGAGATATAATGCAAAGAAATATAATATCTGAAAAGAATGAAAAAAAAAAATTATATTTAAGCGTATCCGTGTAACATTGAATTAATCGTTAATTAATTAATGAATAATTAACGAATTCAATCGAAATTTTTACGAATTTTCGTCCATATTGGACGTGAAAAAATAAATTATAAATATAAAAACTAAATTGAATATCTAATGAACTGTTGTTGATATAATATATGTGAAAAATTGCAAATCAATTTCGGCAAAAATTTATCAATTTTTGGTTATTAAAAAAAGTTTCAAATTAAATCTATGCTCTAATCAAGGCGTGGAAATATAAGAAAAAAAATTGTTAAATTTTGTAACTAACTTTTGAAATGAAAGATTATTTTACTTTTGAAAGTATAATTATTATTACTTAAAGTAACTTGTAAATTTACAAGAACTATCAACTAGTGATTTTGTACAATTTTTTTTTATATTTTTTCTTTCAAACAATTTTTTTTAGTAGAAAATTGTTCTTTATTAAATTTTTGTGTTCTAACAAAATTATTAGTTTTTATCAATCAATTTTTTTAGTCAAATTTTTATCTTTATATTTTGATTTTTTTTTTAGTTTTTTTTAATCTTTCATTCAATAATGTTGTTGTTGAAATTATAAATTAAAATTGAAATCCTAAGAGATTTCATTGAATTAAAACAGAAAGAAAGAAAGAGAGATAATAAATAAATAAAACAAAGAAATTGACGAAATTTTGTAAATGTTTATGGTGCATGAATGTAAGGTGTTTCGTTAATTTTAGTTAATTCTGATTTATAAATCAGGATAAATAATCACGGATACGCACGGGATTTATATTCCCCAATTTCAAATAACTTCCGTCATAATAATATATATTATTACGAAGTGTCGCACGTTAAAGATAATTTGCAACAATAAAATTGTAGATTACATGACATTGAAATGAAGCTTTTTCTTACTTCCTTTTATTAACTGAATAAGTTAATAGAAATTAACTGAAATTCTCCAAAATTTTCAGGAAAAGAAATTCATAACATTATTTTGCAGATTTTTATTATACTGCTTTACAAAAACAATAATAACAATTATTATTATTAATTACATTATATAATTATCAACTATAGTTTTAATGTTAAAATTTATTATAAGAAGTACATTAAATTAGAAAAAAGTACATCTATCGAATTGAAAGTACAAATATTTGTCTGATTTGTACATTTTTTACAAGAATTAATTAATATACATTAAAAAAAAAAAAGAAATATTTGGTCACTGAGGTAAGAAATTAATTTTCTTATAACAAAAATAATTAAAAGAAGAATTGAAACAAAATCTTTATATTTTTGTGTCTTTAAATAAAAAGACTAACTTTTGTTTATCCAATTCTTCTTTCAATGACACGCACAACTTTCAATTGACATATCCTTTTTTGTTTTCAGAACATATGTTTTATTATCGATGAGATAAATGAGAGAAATTGGAGTCAACTTACTTGGAGCACAACATGGCCGTGGTACTTTTGATGGATCATTCAAATTCACCATTAATTGAATGACTGCATGATTCGTGGCAAACATCTCCGATTTGATGGGAAATTGACATTCACCGGAACAAAAATTTGCACTATAACCACGAGGTATTATCATCCAATCTTGCCAATTTAAATCATGAAAATCAACATAAAGATTTTCTTTTCGACATAATGATATTGTTCTTTTGTCGCGAATTTTATTTTCATCGAAACTTTGAAAATTTAATAATGATAAATTTAGTTTTTTTCTATTATCGCTTGCTCTTTGAAAATAGCCCACCATAAATGGACTTTTCTCCTGATTATTTTCTTCTAATCCAACAATTCCAAATTTTTTGGGATCAATTTCCTTCACTTGTTTATCAGAATGTATTTTTATTGTAAGACCATGATTTTCATTTGGATTCTGAATCCAATAATTGAGAGTTTTTGTAATGTTCAGAGTTATCCAACCGGCTTCGATGACTCTTATAGAATTGATAAAAATTTCCTCTTTTTTTTCTCCTTCATTTAGATTTGAAATTCTGTAAATTTTTATTGTAATTGGTCCCTTATACATTGGAAGAACATTTCGAATTCTTCGATATATTTTTAATTCTGCATTTATTAATTGATCTTGTGATGAAATGGTCGTTAAATTGAACCAAAGATTTATGAATTTTTTTGTTTTCATTTTTGTTATATTTGGAATTATTGCCTCATGGGATATTAGAGAAATGATGATATTACTTTCTTTCATATAACTATTAACAGCTTCGATTGTTATGTCAAAAAGTTCTGATTGTAAATTTAAATCAATTAAATTATAAACATTATTATCGTTCAGTAAATTATAAACTTCCATGAGAAATGTGTGAGCCGATGAATTTTTAATAAGGGACATTTTTTGTTGAATTTGAGGTTTCTCAATGTCTAAAATACGTAGTATATTTTCTTTAACTTGTAATTCAATATCCGGCGTGAGAAATTCCAAAAGAACAGTCTGATTAAATTCATTCTCAATGTAAAAGCCACTTGTTTTTTTTGACAATACACCAATACACAATTGTTGTAACAGTAAAGTGAGAAAAATTTTTAACATCTCCATAGTTTGTCTCTTAGGGAGTTTTTAAAAAACTTTTTCGATCCGTTTTGATGAAATTTACATTATTTGAAACACTGTAAAGAAAATTAGGTTTTTATCAATATTTTAAAAATTTTTATTCTTTCTAAATATTAAAATTTATTATATATAAATTTAAATGTATATTTTTTCATATTATTTGATACTTTACTTGATTTTGAAAAATTACATTGGCTTAAACTTGTGTCTTGAATGATGATACGATGACTGAATACCTGTTTACTAATTGTCCTTTTAAACGACCTTACAGAGAATTTTCAATAAGCCCTAAAATTATTCTTTTCAATTTTTCCTACTGTTTTTAAATAGAAACTTCTCTGTTGGTAAATATTCAAATGACTTACAACTCTTTAAAAAGATTTATTATTTCCCATTAATTGTTAAAAATTTCAATAGAAATAAATTTACTACAATAAGAAATAAATGATAAATTTATTTTTATTTTCGATTTGATTAAATTATTATTGCAATTTTTTAAAAAATTATATAATTAATATTTTTAAAAAAAGCAAGCAAATATTTTTCAATGATAAAAGAAAAAAAATTCCGTTTTAAAAATTTTAAACAAAATTTATTTATACATTTCTCACGAATATTTACAGTTTCTTTTGTTTCATTTTTTAATAACATGAAAAAATAAATAATAATTTACATAAACTTTACAGGAATTTAAATTAAATATAAAAAAATAAAAATTTTAATATTTACATAATCATTTTTTTAAAATTGTTTGTCAAATAGTTTAAAAAATAAAAAAATATTTCAAAGACACCCACAACTATCGACAGTCATATCTTCACGTTTTTTAATAACTAATGTATCTTCACTAGTTCGAAAAATCACATGAATCGTTGACGTTTTACTTGGAGCACAACACGGTTTTGGAGCACGATCAGGATATTTTAAATTAATAAATGATTGAATAATCGCATGATTTGTGGCGTTCATATTAAAATTCAATGGATAATTACATGGTCCATTACAATAGAATGCATCATAGCCTTTTGGTGCAATTATTATATTGTCCAAACTTAAATCTCTAAAACTAACGTACAATGTTTCCTTACGACACGACATTGGTAATCGTGGTGCCATTGCAATTGATTGAAATGATTTTCTCATACTTGAATGAAAATAATCCAATCCACGTCTTCGTCTTGCTGTATTTCTATTTCCATAAACAACAAGAAATGGTCGTTTCTCTGGTACACCTTTAAAACCCACAATACCAATGGCTTCTGGTCGAATATTTTCCTCACCACCATGTGAATATGCCTCTAAATAAAGTCCTCGATTAATATCCAATCCACGAAGCCAAAAATGAAGTGATTCGGTAACATTTAATGTTACCCAGCCATCACTCTCAGTTGTATTTACAGAATCAACAAAAATCATATCACGATTACCATTATTGTCCCTATCACTTGCAATTCGATAAACGCGAATTATTGCCATTCCTCTATTTTTCTTTGACACATTGTCAATTGTTCGAAATAATTTTAGTTCACCTCGTGTAATTGTATCATCAGTGGATATTCGTGAAACATTAAACCACAAACGTTTGACTTTATCAGTTTTTTGAAAATTTGGTTTTTTACTATTTCTTGCAGCCAATGTTGTAATGAGATCACTCTCAATTATGCTATTCATTCCCACATCATTGACATCGAAATATTGTAATTTTTTTAATTCTTGATCGCGTAACATTTTTGATTGTTTATCATCATTTGTTAAATGATAAATATCCATTAGAAAACTTGATGCAGCAGTTGGTAATTTTTCTTGTTGTTGATGCATTTCAGTGTCAATTGGAATATCAAGAACGTTGAGAATTTCCTCGCGAAGATATTTTCGATGTCCTTCGTTTGTAATTTCTTGAAATACCGTTTTATCATATCCATTGTCAACATAAATTCCACTTGGTTTCACAACAGCTGCCACAAGAATTAAATGCAATGTCAACATTTGAATTAATCCAAAAACATTCATATTGTCACTTTTATTTTGTATTTCTAATTTTATAATATTTTGTAATTGATTATTCAAGGAAAAAATAGAAACACTTTTTAGTTATTTTTTTTTAAATTTGTTTTTTCAATTTGTTAATGTTTTTGTTTTTTTTTTTTAGTCTCGTACTAACTGGACTGGAAAATTTTTGGTGAATTGAGAAAAGAAGAACTTGGAATGGAGAAAATTGGTAGTTACTTCCTTGAGAGAAGATCTAGGAATGAGTTTCTACTTATTTTGCAATTATCTCTTATACCTGTACTACTGAGGGAAATTCGGCAGGGATAAATTCAATTTAATCCTTTAAATACTTTTGATGATTGCAACATAGATAAAGGTGAGCTCCACCCCTTATTTCTTTTGATATTTTAGCCCCTATCCCTTCCCCCACCCTCGCCCCCCTTCTCTTATCATAAATTTTATTCTTTTCTTTACATTCGTTTATTGATGCGTGTAAATCAAATTGTATAAGTATATTATCCGGTCTTCATTATTTATTCAGTTTGAAATATTAATAATATTCCCCCACATTCGTTTTATTTTAATTTAAACCTAAATTTCTTAGTTTCTCTATTAAATTGAATTTTATTAGTTTCTTTTTAATATAAATTTAGTAAAATTTATGGACAGGCTTATCGCTCATTATTTTTTATATGATATATCTGAAAAAGATGGCGTTTATCTGGATGAAAATATATTTTTTTTTATGTTATTCGTTTTATTGTTCTAAATAAGAGACAAAATGAATTTTTATATAAAAAAGGAAAATTTTTTTATTATAACAAAACATTTATTTATAATTATTCTCAGTGAATTTTCATTTAAAAGAAATCACTGTAGAATTCACATTAAAGACAATAACATTCGAAAAATCTTGATAGATTTTTTTCAATTTAATTTATTCGATTATAAAGTGTTCGCTACCAGTTCGAAACACTTTTTTTTTTGTTTTTTTTTTTTTTCTAAATAAAATTATTCATAAATATTCTTTATACAAATACATTTATATAAAATTATTATTATTTTTAAAATATTGACGATGAGAATAATTAATAAAATTATTAATAATAATTTACAATTATGGCTGACTGTAGATAGATATTTGTTTATCATTCAAAGACACAATAAAAAACCGAGTACAGTCATCAAAAGTAAAGATGAAATATAGAATGTGACTGCTGATGATTCAACTGTAAAAAGAAATATATTTAAATTAGTCATATGAAATTCAAATTTAAATCAATTATTATACATACAAATTTCATTTCATTTTTCAATGTTAATCAATGATTTTCATATTTTAAATTCCATTATTTTTGCTAAAATATTATTTTCTTAATTTGGAAAATTTTTTTTATATAATTATAATTTCTACATTTGACAAAAAAAAAAAAATAGAAAAAAAAAATTACGGTCTTTCTCCACACACTGATAACCAATTCTCTCGAAACCATTACTACAAATGCACACTTTTGCATGTGCACATATTAGGAAATTTCTATCATCATTTCGTGACGTTTGGTAACAATTTTCATCGTCATCACAAGGCTGACCAAGAGCTAAAAAAAATAAATAAAAAAAAACAAAATTTTCTTTAATTAAAAAAAAATAATAAATAAATCTTTATAATCTTCATCTTCATCATTAATCAAGAAATCCATCTAATAAATTAGAATTCATTAAATGAATTAAAATTTTTAATTTTAATTAAATTGAATGTTAATGAAGTTAAAATCGATTAAATTCATATAAATTACTTTTGCTAGGTATACACTTCTGTCTGAATGGAACAAAATGATAATTTCTAGCACAATGACAATAGCCTTGAACACAATCAGCATCCCCTAAACTCGCTGTACATTGAACAGTCTCAAAACATCTTTCATTATGTTTAACAACATCAAGACACATTGATTTTCGGGAATTTATAACTCTATCACCGGAACAAACACACGTATTATTTTCTGTAGCACAATATCCATAAATATGCCAACATTCTCGTGGATCATCACATTTTTCTCCATATCCTGCAAAAAATAAAAATTTTATTTCATTTTAAAATAAACAACATTAACCAAAATTTTTTTTTTCAAGTACATAAAAATAAAAAAAAATTCTTTACCAACATCTTTCCAACATTGACTAGCAGACACGTGATAATTTTCACGACATACACATTTTTTATTCGTACATGTTGCATTGGGAAATTTAAAAGTGCATTGCTCTTCCTTTTTACACTCATCTTGCAAATTTTTAGCAGCTGTAAATAGTAAATATTTTTGTACTATATATTTACAAGAGAATTATAATTACTTTTATTAAATATTATAAATTTTATTTCTAACTCAATTAATATTATTTAACTGGATAAATATTATTTAATAATTAATTTTATTGAAATTTTATTTATTTATATATTTAAATTAAAGTATAATATTTTTAATAAACAATTTAATGATATTTCTTTACTTCAATATTGTGTGAAATTGAAAAAGACTCAATTACCAATAAGTAAATTACCTTTCAAACAATATTTGCCATCCTTAGTATTAGTGAAATCAGGTTCACAATCACAATGTTTTGTTTCATTACAGTGAGCATGAAGATAATGACAGTCGTTATTATTAGTACACGATTTCCCAATAAATGAATCTAGCGCTGGATCTGACAAAAATTTCAATATTAAAATTAAATATTTAAAATTAGAGGAGTGATTAACAAAAATTATTACAATAATATTAACTGAATTAAATTACTGTGATATAATTCGATTAGAAATTTAATTTTAAAAATATTAAATAATTATTATTATTAAGTATTAAAACTAATAAAATTATTTTTTTTTGAAATGAATAAATCAATAAAACAGGTAAAATATTCAGAATGTTGTAATGATTTATTCACATCAAAAAAAAAAATTTGTTTTGTCACCCTTTTTGATGGATAATTTTTTTTTAGGGGCGTTAAAGATTAAAATCAAATTACCTACTTTTTTAGTTATTTAATCAATAATATATGAAATAATTTTTCTCAAAAAAAAAAATTTGAACATTTGAATTAAATTAAGAATTTTTCAACAATTAAAAAAATAAAAATAAATAAATCTATCAAGATATACCTTCATAATTTCTAGCTTCTGGATTATTTCCAGATTTTACTTTACAAACAATTTCAGTATTATTTCCTTCATAACATAAACATTTATCAATTACACATTTTACTCCTTCGAATTTTGGACAATCTTTATCCTCTTTGCACGGATGTGCACCTGGAGATAATCGTGCTATAAAAAAAATAAAAAAAAAAATTACCTTTCGTTAAAAAAAAAAAAAAAAAAACAATTCTAATGCCACTTTTTACTCGTAATTATAATTAAGAATAATTAATTAATTATAAAAAATATAACACAATTTCCATTAATTAAATGAAGTGATTTAAAAATAGAATAAAAATAATCCGATACCTCCCATTATAATAATAAAATAACTCACTCAAAGAGTGAAATTAAATTCCTACTTTTAACAAATTTAGAGCGTGAAGTTCCTTTAAAAATATAGTATGAAATTAAAAACTAATGCTTAAATAAAAATATAAAATAATTCTAAACAAATTTATTAACATAATAAATTACATTCAAATTATTTAACTTAATTACTTAATGAATAAATTATTATATTTTTATTAATAGAATTTTTTATATTAATTTCGAAAATTTTTACTTTCTTTAATATTCAATAAATTAATAGAAATATTTAATACTTTCATTGAATATTTGAAATAAACAAATGCTTTTGTATATTTGTTTTGATTTTAAGAGAAATTAACAGAAACAACATTTGAAAATATGTCACAAATAATGTTTTTAATTTCCAATAAGAAACTGGGTATTTCCAAGGAAACAATTGAATTTTATCCGTGCGTCATGCTAATTAAATAAAATTATATCCTTTTTTTTTAAATTTTCTTATTGAAATAAAATTTCGTTTTTAAATTCTAATGTTTCTTATGTGAAAGTTTTAATAATAATAAAAAAAATAGTGTCCAATTTAATTGTCACGATGCAAATAAAAATAACCATCATTATATAATAATTAAATGACAAATAATTAATTAAAAATATTGATAATATTATTTAAAAATAAGATGAAAATTAAAGTGCTTCAATTAAAAATTATCATTTTTAAAAGAACAACTTTTAAAATAAAAAATAGTTTAATATTATTATATTATATTTAATTATACAATAATTATAAATATTATTATTATTTATTTATTTAAATATTAAAACAGACAAAAAATATTATATAAAATTTTTTTATAATATAATAATATAATATTACAATTATAGTATATTAATATATTATAATTAAACAATTATATAAAAATAAAAATTGATTTTGTTTATAAAAATAGTGAGAAAAAAACTTTACCGGTTCTTTCATGACTTAATTCCGCACAGGTATATTCCGCAAAGAAAAAGAAAAATGTTAAAAATAAAAAAACTTTCATATTTTGTTCAGTGAAATTGTAACCGTCACTTTACAATACAATAGGATACGAGACACTGAATTAAAACGGGGCCGGAGAATCTCACTGAACGCAAACTGCGCGTCAAGCTATATGGGAATCAAATTATGAAATACCTTTCGGTTATATTCGTGAATTCACGAAAATAATCGAAAATTCATTTCAATAAAATTTTATAAAAATTCTCAACAAATTATTATTATTTTTTTAAATAAAAAATAAGGTAGTTAAATAATCTTTTATTTATCATTTCATAATTAATTTTCATTATATTTTATTTGTATTTGTATTTTTTTTTTTAAAGTTACGCCTGATGTGATGCAACACGTCCATCGCGAACGCATGTTTACGTGTTTTTAAAAACGGAAAAGTATTCATAAGATATATATGACAAATAATAAATATTTATAATATGGGTTTTTGTGATTTTTTAAATAGTATTTTTTATTATATAGATTATAACATTTGTTTAAAAATATATTGAAAATTATTGATTATAGAACTTGTGTATATTTTGAATAATTAAAATTTACCGCCTATTGATGGCAGTGCCATCTAGTGGAAATATTCGTTAGTTTCCTTTTGGAAAGAATTGAAAACACACGATGGACTGTTACTATAGTAAATAAAAATTTAATTTAATTGTAAAATTCACTTAATATATCATTAATATATATTATTAGAAGAATTGCCATAATTGGCAGTGTCAATTAAAATCCAGGTGAGTTCTATCAATAAATATTTAATGCACACTTTGCAATTCAAATTATTTTTAGGTTATGTTACCGCTTTTTTTTTTGGATTTATACACAAGAAATTTATTTATAAATGTTTATTTCTCACATAAATTATTTATTTAATATCAATTAATGTCATTAGCTTGAAATTATTCAATGACTTAAATTATACTGTCAAGCTAGCAAAAATTTGTAACCTCAAAAACTCAAGTTTACAATGCGCGTGTAAAAGTAATTATATATACACTGAAAAGTATCTTTTTTTTTTACTGAAAACTAACAATTAAGTATATAAAATTTGGTTCTATTTAGAAGAATCACGGAAATTTATATTTATTATAATTAATTATAGAATGGCGAGCTTTACCAAAGGTCTGTTTACAACTTTTCGCTCGTGGATTCCTCAGGTGACAATTGTTCGACACAGATATTATGCAGAAAAAATAGAGAATGGCCCTCTTATTAAAAGATATGGTTATAAAGATAGAATTGACATGAAAGGTCTTTTGGCTCGTGAAAGTACAAAGCGTGTTCGATCTATGCCTTTGTATCGGCCAAAAGATGCTTGGTGTGAACATAGAGCACTTTTTGGTCAAAATGACTATATTGATATACTAGGAAATGATGCATTACATCCAACAAGAATTTTATATAATATTCCCAAATGGTTACGAGGTGTAAGTGGAAATGAATATCAAGTGCTATTACGAAAGAGAAAAATATTTAAACAAGGTATTTATCCAGTAAAAAGGCCAACCAAGTGGGTAGAATTACAAAAACGAATCAGATATTTGTACAGATTTTTAAATCGAAAAACAAAAGTTGGAGCATGGAAGAAACATTGAATTGTACGAAAAAGTATTCTATTATTATCATTATTATTAAATAAATCTTTTAGAAAACATTTCGAATATTTTTAAAAAAATTAGGTAAATTCTAGACAAAAAGAATTTTTTTTTCTTTCTTTTTATGAATTAAAAAATCAACTTATTAAAATAGTAAATTTATTTATTGATAAATCAAATCTGATATATATATAATATACCTATATACGTTAGTATCTCACAAATTACATTTTCGCGAACAGTTTTGCATTTTAAATAAATTTTTTCACAATAATTCGTGATTTATAAGACAAATTCAATTTGTCACTTGTACAACTATGTACACATAATATCAAATTCGTAAAGAAAAATTAAATTACACTGAATGAGTGATTTTTTTTTTTTTCGATGAACGCGAAGTAAGTACCATTCGGTATTTATTTAATCGTATTAATTCTTATTCATGAGGTCTAAATGATAATTGTAAGAATAATTATAATATTTTACAAATAATTGAGAGTATTGTCGATTGTTTTTCTTTTCTTTTTTTTTTAAATAAGATAAAAAGACATAGTTACTCTGAAATCTCCTATGGAGTCTAATTAACGTACAAAGTTTCTTGAAGATTACGGTGAACAAGAGTTTTTTTTTTCTTTTCTATTTTTTTTTCTATTCGTAAAAAAGAGAACGAAAAAATTAAGTCACGTTAAACGCGCGGAAATTTTAGCGAGATTATCATTCTGGCACCCTTCTTGTATTTCATTTTATACACTAAACATTACTTTTTAGTCTATCAAGTATTTGATTTGCTTTTTTAATACAATTTATCAACAAATAAAAAAACGATCTTTAATACTGTAGTTTAAATCGCCGTGGCTCCAGTCAATAAAGGATGTTTTTTTTCATAATGTGTATGTATGTAAAAATGATGTCGCGAAAACGCATTAAAAAGTATATAATAGTTTTTTTTACTTCTATTTACATTTAACAATTAACGGCAGTCACTCGCACTTTTTTTTTTATAGCTTAGTTAGAAGCTAAATTAGATTCGTATGAACGATGAACAATGAGAAAAAAAAGAAAGAAAGCATTTACAAATGATTTTGTAGAAATGATAAAAATGTTGTCTCGTAATGTTTATTGGCGTCTAAATTTCGTAAACTGTGCCTTTCGTCGGGATAAATTTGTAACTGATACGGTTTGCCGGCTTTAATAAGGGCATTTATTAATTGACTCGTGTGATAAAAATGCACGTTCTCATCCATCATTCCATGAATAATGAGCAATCGATTTTCTTCATCGGGAAATTTGTTTACATGCGATATCACAGAACCGTTTGCGTAACCCTCTTGATTGTCCTGCGGAAGATCCATATATCGTTCCGTGTATCCTGTGTCGTACAAATGCCATGATGTCACTGGAGCTCCGGCAATTGCCAACTAAAAAATAAAGAATATTATTTTTATTTTCTAAAATTTATAAAAAGTTAGATTTTCAGTAAGAAAAATTTACTTTTCTGTATTTATTTTTTTATTTAATTTATCAAAATTGCTTACTTTAAAAACATCAGGATATTGAATTAAGCCCATGAGACTCATATAACCGCCGTAAGACCATCCATGAATGGCAACGCGATTCATATCAATGTAATCAGTTGACTCCGCCAACCATTTCAGTACTTCAACTTGATCTTTTAATTCCACTGTTCCCATTTTACGTCGCAAATAACTTTCAAATGCAAATCCACGATTTTGCGAGCCACGTGAATCCACCATGACAACGCAATATCCTTGCGCAGCAAGCATGTGCATTCGTAAATGCTTCATTCCCTAAAAATGATTCAAGTTACTGACAAACCTCGAAATTGTTTTTTTTTTTTAAGGTATTACTATCACGAAATTAAATTCTTCTTTTAAATACTAATAAATTTACAAATTTTTATTTAATAAAATAATAATTATCGTGATGGTAATACCTTAAAATATTCCACTAAAAAAAAAAACTACAAACCTTGAAAGTATTTGAAACAAGTTGTATTTCCGGTCCTGCGTAAACATTCATCACAGTTGGATATTTCATACCGGGTTGATAATTATGGGGTTTAAAAATCATCGCGTAAATTGTATCCCCAGATGAAATTTTGTGCGTGAAAATCTCTGGTACAAGAAGATCTAAAAATTCAACGGTTGATGGTTCCAAAATATAGCCAACTGGCGTTAATGCAATACTATCAACCGTCCAATCGGAAAGTGATACTCGAAATACCTAAAACAAAAATTTTTAAATATTTTTTTTTAATATTTATCAACAAAAAAGAAATATATAATTATAATAATAGTGTTACCTGAGACGCAGGTAATGTTTTAATAGAACTATAAACAGTGACGAGTATCGAGCAATCTTTATTAAATGACACACTGGTGTAACTGTAACCTGGCCGAGTGAGCAATCGTACTTCCAATGGTCGATTAAGTGAAACTGCATAAATATGTTGCTCTAAAGGTCCTTCGCGTAAACCAAGAAAATAAATAATCGAATTTTTCTCATCAACCCACAAATTTCTCGATAACACCTGCCAATCACCTTGTGTTAAAGCAATTTTTGAAATTATTCGCGGTTCAGAAAAAACACTATCCATTTTATCGAGCGGCTCTTCTATTCCATTACTCGAGCCTAAAAATATTTCTTCTATTAAAAAATTATTATTAAAAAATTTTATTGAAATATAAAAATTTTACAAACCAGCTATACTGGACGTGACAAGATACATATGTCTGAAATTTGTCTCTTCACTTCCCCAAATGAATTTAATTTCCGTTGAATCGTCAGACGGCAAAAAATAAAGTAAATCATTAACATTAATCCAACAAGGATTATGCTCCGAATAAATGACTTGAACACTTGACGACGATGGTGTCACATGATTTTCACAATTATAAACATTTGGCGGCGGTTCGCAAAAATTATCCAAAGATAACAAAACTAATTCAAGTCTTTGTTGTTTTCTATCTAATAATTGCACCCAAATGCTGTAAAAAATCAAAAATTACTAATTTGACGATTTTTTCAATATTTTTTACACTCACTGTCGTCCATCAGGCGTCCAACCAGCTCGAACCATATATTCCATCCATGGAAACATAATGTGAAGGGGAAATTGTAATTCAAGATTTTTAATATCCACAATTTGTAATGTGTCCGTTAATTTAAATTGCACCATTTTTAAATTGCTCCTCGCATTATTTGATCCCGCTCGTGGAAATCGAAATTCATCCATTTCCTCAGAACTTGTTGTCATTGATGGTTGACGAAATATTTTCACATCACTTTCATCAACCTCCTCGTAAACAATTCGATAAATTCCATCATCAGATTTTGGCTGCCACCAAAAACCCGTATATCTAAAAAAAAAAAAATTTTCAATTTATTTTTTTGAGATATAGAAAGAAATCAGTAAACAAATTTCGACAAACCTTAAGAATTCCTCTTGCATAACATATGATGGAGTCGCTGCCGTAAGAGGATCATCGGCAAGACTTCGACTACCTTTTCGTGCATGAGTCAAACGAACGGAAGATCCTGTGATACAATGGGACAAATGCAAATCACCGGCGCACGTATGAGCAACCAAGGCACTGTTCCAGGGACAAATTTGCGGACACAATTTAGCGCCTGATGTTGACATTCGAATTTCTGATGGAAACAAAGGACCGGCCTGAAAAAAAAAAAATAAAAATAAATATTTTCTTTTATTTTACAAAAAAATGAAAACAAATTTTAATTACCACAAATCCAGTGTCGACACATTGATAAAGATTGCTCGCAGCCGGAAAGACCAATTTTCCACTATCCGCATGTAATTCATAACTCGTTATGCCAAAGGTGACCAGTCTTTTTCTCTCCCAAAGTAATTGTTCTTCTTTCGATAGTCGATTCGAGTTGGCAACACTAAAAAGAGTTTTTCTAATTCATAAAAATTTATCAAATTCTAAATTATCAATGATTTATTTTTTTTTAGTGAAATAATAATCACATTTGAAAATTTGCTTCGATTACTGGTTGCCAATGTAATTTGTAACCGTTCGCGTGATCCGAGTGACCAATGTCCACGTATAATAGTGTCGTCTCGTAACCACTGCTCGACGAGCTAAGAAAATAAATTCTCGTCCTGCAAAAAAAAAGAAAAAACAAAATTAATATTATAAATTTTACAATTATGCTAAAAAAATTTTCTAATTACCTTCCATCGGGTAAAGAACGAAATGAAACTGATCCTGGAATTGAACCAGAAAGCATTCCAGAAAATCGTCGACGCAAATCGCTGACGACTCCGCCTAATTCGGTCCATGATTTTTTTGGCGGATCAATTTCTTGCCTCATGTGCACTCCGACCTCGTTGCAAAATTCCATGATTCCCTGAACTCCTTGAACTAATTTGGACGGCAGCAGAGACTGCATCTGCCGTAGGCAGAAGCTATGTTTTGGCGAATAGCTTCGAAACGAAGGAAACAGCTGAAATAAAATTTTCTTTAATTACAAAATATGCAAAAAAAAATTCAAAAGTATTTCAAATATTTAAAAGCTTGGAAAATTTAAAAAACAGTAAATGAAAATTAATAAACAAATGAAATATAGATAATAAATTAATTAAAATGTATTTTTTCAACATTAAAAATCAAAGAAACAGCAAAAAAGCAATAAAGACAGAAATTTTTTTAATGTAAACAATGTTGCGCAAGCAAGAAGCCGACAAATTCGTTTTTTTTAGTTGAGATCTGCAATCAGCGATTGTAAATTAATCAAATAAATCACTAAGAATGAAAAAAAATAAAAACAATTACAATCAGTATAAATTAAAAATATAACGTTTCAATAAATTAAAAAGAATATTTTCATTTAAAATTTCTATAATAAATTGGTTTTTTTTTTTTTCAAATATTGTGAATAAACTAATTAAATATTACTTTCATTCAAAACGACGAGTTTGAAACTGTCAATCCGTGAAGAGAGAGTGTCGTATGATGAAATTTTTTCATCACTCTAAAATGATAATAAAAATTTTTGCCAAACAAAATGGGCTTATATTGTGAAATAACAATAGCAAGAAATCTGGCAAAGCGACAAATTCTTAAAATTATAACAATGCTCCAAATTATCAGGGCTTACATCCAGCAACATAAGAAATTCACTTTTTCACTATAGAAAAAACAAGAAACTTCACTAAAATCTTTTTCCTTCACATATGTCCGATACTTTCTTTATAACACTTTCTATGAAATTTGATATACGTGAAAGGGGGAGTGGAATCTTATAATCAAAACTCCCAAATATCATTTAGCATTAAGAAAAAGAAATTCTAATTGGCTTTTTTAATGATAAAATGACAAGTTTCTGCTGATAAAGAAAACAGATCACTGATAAACAATGAAAGGAAAACAATCGTAAGCCTTCCAAACACTGCTGTCAAAATTATTTGATTATTTTTTGAGGTTAGGTTCGTATAATCAAGGCTCACTTTCACTTTTTACCAATATATTCTGAAACCATTTCTTTTTCGTTTTTTTTTTTCTTTTTTTTTTTTGCCGTTACGTGGCAATTTTTATCCGCGTTATTAGGACATCACTGGGATTTCTCACAAAATTATCACTCACACATTCATGGATAACTGTCAGAATTTATAGTATGACACCTCTTTTTTTCAACATATCCAGTAGCGAAGCAAGCGGAAGTATTAAAATGATTCTGACAAAGGAACACAGATTAATATAATTTCATAATATGTAATGTAAATTTTTTTATCCATAATGAAACACTTATTATTAAATAATTACCTTTATGTTTGAAATACGAAAAACCAGCTATTTTAAAAGAAAATTACGACCTAACAATGACCAAGACTTGTTCTTCATGTCAGTCCCCCCTCTCTTGCCGCCACAACTGGATTAAACCAATCAACGTTCACAATTTGTATTAGTTCTCTTGATTGCGAAAGACTTTTTAATTGAAATTCAAAAATTTTCTAACATTATTCAATGAAAAGTGAAAGAAACGTTATCTAATTGGGGTCAAAAGAAAGTAATAAACTCAAGAAACTATTTTATTTTGAAAATAAATTTTACTTTTTTTTCAAAAACAATGTAAAAAGAAATTGTTTATGACGCGATTCTAACCTTTTGACAGATTTCTATTAATATATTATTTGACAGTTGTTAGAATTTATGAATTAATTTACATTTTTAAACAATTTATTTGCAAGTAAGTTACATGAAAATTATTTATTTTTGAAATTGAAAATCTTCATTTTTATTCGTTTTTATTCTTGCTATTATTATTTTATTTAATAAAATGTGTATAATTACCTATAGTAGAGAGTAAACAAAACTTGAGTGTGTAAAATTTTTGGTAAGTATTATTATTAAAATTAAAAATTAAATTTTATAATAATTATCATATATAAGTTATTGATAAGGTATAATATTATGTAATTAAAATGATATTTGAAGTAAATATAAATAATTATTAAAAAAAATTGTCACGTAGATTTATAGGTTAGAATATTTTGCTTAGGGTTATCAGCCTTACAGTCGTGTATGTCGGGTTGCATACTAATAGGTGCTATTTTTTGAATTGAATTTTACATAAGTAAATAATAATAATAATAATAAATAATGTAATTATATATGAAATATATAAATATATATAAAATAAATAAATATATTTATTTATAAGACTTTATTAAAATAACAATCGAAAAACGCTAAATCGTTAAAAATGACAGTTTGACTTTTAATTAAATTTTGATAAATTTTTAACATCGCATATTCTAATTAATAGTTACAATTATAAATAATTAGTATTTTTTTTGCAAATTAATAAAAGTAAGGAATAAAAAAAAATTCATTTAAAAAACACATATATATTGTGAAAATTAAATCTAAAGGTTTTTAAAAAAAGGTAAACTTTTAAATTACATTGATATTTACTTATCCTTGAATTTATAATTAATCCAAGTGTGAGATTTATCTTTCCATTAACAAATGGAATTCTCCTCTTTGGTGTATTTCAAGTTCAATCTAATTAGACGGCAATGAAATTGATTAATTTTCCTGTTAATTTTATTTTTAAAATCTATTTACTTTATTATTTAATTTTCTTTTTTTTTTTTGATAATAGTAAAAGTTTATTAATTAAATAAAAATTAGATAAATTTTAATTTTTTTAAATTATAATAATTAAAAATTTTTTATTTACCATTATTAATGTAATAATAATAATAATTATTATTATTTATTTATTTTTATTTTACAATTTTTTTTTTAAATTTTTAATATATAATTATTATTATTACTATTTCTATTAAAAACAATTGTTATTATTGTTATAAAAGAAAATTTTACATGATATTAGTAGAAAAGATAATATTGAATAAAAGAAAATATTTCGTATATATATATATATATCTATAATTTTATTTTCTCATGAAATTTTTCTGTTGACACCCTTAGTGACCACACCCCCTTTATTCTCTATACGGCTACTCAGTGTCAAGTTACGATATATTGATTTCTTACTTGCTTTTAATGTTTGATTGACAGAAAAAAAAATGTTACCATCATCGTGCCCACTAAACAAAAAGGCCATTTGCCCTTCACGGAAATTAAGACTCAGGGAAATGTTTCAATCAAGAATGTTCCAATTAAATACAATAAAACAACATTATTCGGTGAGTTATTATTATTATTATTTTATTATAATATACCATTTTTATTTTACTCTATTTTTAATTAATAATTCTATTTAAATACATTTAATTATTTAATATATTTTTAATTTATTTATATTTTTACATTTTAATATAATAATAATAATTATATGTTATATAATTATATTCATGTATATTATTATATTACTATTATTATTTTTATTATATTATTATTATTATTATTATTATTATTATTATTATTATTATTATTATTATTATATTACTATTTTGTTTAATAATTATTTTAAATTAGTTTTAATGTAATATAGAAAAATTGAGAGAAATCAATTTTTTCCATAAGAATGAACTGTTTAGAGAACCTTTTATTTAATTTTTATATATATACAGTCAACCCTCCCAATAAAGCCGCTCTCAATAAAGCCGTTTCTCCACTTGACGCTCGAACTCGTACCCCCACTCACGCGCCAGAAAGTCCGTCGCTTGAATTTGATCTACCTGTCTCCCAATAGAGCCGCTAAGCAAAACAACTTTTTGTTCTCTTACACATGTATATTTTTTGTAATAATGCGCCGGCATTATTGAGATAGTGTGCGGAAAACTTTTCGCAGCTAGGAAGCATGAGTAGTGGGGGAACTTGAGTTCCACGAAAAACGCTTCCCCTTTCCGCGTAGACCGGCTTTATTGGGAGGGTCGACTGTAGAATAAAAAAATCTTCTTTGCGGAAAATTTTCGCGAACTTAAGGGGTTTTGGGGTGGGGGGGGGGATGATGTCCTTTGAAAAGCGCAATTGAAAAGAACCTTTAGCTTGAATAGTTTTCCTTTAGTAAAGATAATCTCTTTTCAACGTAAACTGGTGTGAAAGTGAATTTTTCGCACTACTGCTAAATCGATTTCTAAATCGCGTGCGGTTTTATGACCGGAAGTTACGCCTTAGAAATAAGCCATAATTTTTTTTTTTTCCCTTCATATATACATATATGTGAGTTCAACTTATTTATTTTCAATGTGAAAATTTTTAAAGATAGAAATCATTTATGAAATTACCATATTTATAACGTTTACTTATTATATAGTTAAACAAAAAAGCTTCACGAGTAAACGTGAGATATTTATTATCGTGTTAGAACAAAATTATGATTTTTTTTTTTATTTAAAGAGACATTTTAACTCTGAAGCGTTATAATTATTTTTTTTATCTATTGATATTTTTTTCCATTTATTATTTTAAGATGATTTTTTACTGCTTTTTTGGAATTGAAAAAAGTTAGTTTTTATAATTTATAAATTATTTTTTATTTTATTATTATCATTAATTAGTATTTAAATAAATAATAATAAATATTTTTAAAAAATAATAATTAAATAAATAATGATAAATATTTAAAAAAAATAATAATTAAATAAATAATAATAAATATTTTAAAAAAATAATAATTAAATAAAAAATATTTAAATAAATAGCTTCTCATTGGATTAAAAAAAAACTCCCTTTCGAAAAATTTAATTAAAAAATGCATTATTTGCATTAAATTTTCCTTCTTGTTGAAAGAAATCAGAGGAAGTTTTAATTGAAATAAAAAACAATGTTTTTTTTTCTCTTCGATGAATTGCATTTTTCAAGGTGGGTTAATTGAATTGTAAATTATACGAGTTTATTTAAAATTGATGAGATTTAAAAAAAAAAAAAAAAAAAAAAAAAGTATGAGGGTTGGGAATGGGATATTGATATCGGTATAACTTGTCGTGTTGATATATGCTCTAAAAAAAAAGATAAAAAAAAAAAAAAAAAAAAAAAAAAAATTCGCCGCGCCCCGGTTCATCTCACTCTCTCCCATATCCTCAGCATCTTTAGAAGCATCCTCTTCTCACAGGATGAAATGTAACGAATAAGGGACACACAACCGCTCCTTTGGTGGGTGGATGCGCGTAAACGTATTTTCGACTAGATGGCACGTGATCGATCGCGAGCCAGAAAACCAACTGCCTGTACCATCAGGTGTATATACATATATATATATATATATATATATATTTTATATATATCCACTTTTCAATCTGATAACACATCACAAGACTATCTACAAATAACATTCTTCTCTCGCACATAACAATAAAATAGTCCCCTGAAAAAAAAATAAAAAATAAAATAAAAACCATTTCTCTTGTCAAAAGATTGTAATTCATTTTTATTTTATTTTTCATATAAAGAAAAACGAGATAACGATAATTTTATTAGAAGTGATACTATAATAATTTCGGTGTTGTCCTCAGTAAACAAAAAATTTGTTTAATTGAAAAAAAAAATTGGTGGTAATAAATAAAAATATAAATAATTTATTTAATCGGTTAATAAGTAAATTATTAATAAAATAAACTTAACTTATAATTAAATTAAATTAACCATGTTAATAAGTAAATTATTAATAAAAAATAAACTTACCTTTTAATGCAGAGAAAAATGTTTCCTTTGAATCATACTATTTTTTTATGACGCACAGTCAATAATAATTTAATACATAAAAAAAAAGAATTAAAAAACTTTTTATTTATTATAAAATTTTTAGATAAAAGTATTTTTTCTTTTTTGAAAATTTTTTTTTTTTAATATTATTGAGGAAAGGTTTTAATTATATATAATAAATAATACACAATTATATTTTATCGAAAATTTCATTTATTTTATATATGTCATCACTGGAAAAAAAAAACCGTAAAACCCATGCAGTAGTATATACTAGCAAGATAAAAATCCAAATTATCTAATTTAGTATAACGACCAAAAGGCAGTAAAATGTTTATTTAAGTAAATGTTTTATTCAACTATATATATATGTATATTAATTTAAGGTTATCCAATACAACTAAATTTATATATAAGATAAAATTTATGAATGCATTTTTTATAATAACAATATATTTTTA